GCATACGATGCTCCATAGCCGTTTATTAGATGATCTGATAACCTTTGAAGATTGAACCCTCGCCCGGTGAAGTTAGATGAGTCTTTTTCAACGACCTGCCCCATTGGGGCAAAATAAGCAGACCGTTGGTCATTGCCAAGACTCGGGAGTTGTATCCAGCTTGGCTTCTCATGAGCACCAATGCTACATGCCGGTTACCGGCGCCATGGCCCATAAAAATGTAATTAATGAAGAGGAGATTAAGCATCGCGACCTCGTGAGAGTGGGTGCATTCTCACGATGTAGGGCCCTGCAAAAGCGAACAACGATGCAACGAAGCGCAATAAATAGTAACCCAAGGCCTTGCCGTCTTGGCTTTCGCTTCGCCTGAACCGTCAAACCAACATTCGAGGTTTCGAGATCAATCGCCAATCCCACCGATCTCATCAAGATTGCCGGCAATGGCTCGATGGTACAGCATCGCGCAAGCGCTTCTTCTCGCTGCCGCACTCAATCCAGCGGCGGCCGAGGAGAGCAGCTTTGCCGGTCGCCGCAATCGCCTGACCACTCCGGCGTCCGAAGCCGCTTCTGGCAGGTATATCGTTGAGCTACAAACCTCAACCGGCCCGAACGCCAGACAGGACGCCACAGTCGCAGACTCTGTTGTCGACCACATCACATCCCTGGGATACGACGCTAAGGTCAAGGACGACTTTTCTGCCATTTCCGGTCGCTTCAAAGGTGTTTCGGTGGAGATCACGAATGACAAGTCCACCGGCGCTCTTGATGACATCAAGAGTATCCCAGGTGTGGCTGGTGCGTGGCCGGTGTATCCCATCACCCTGGACGCGTCCTTTGAAGTTACCACAGGCTCCCAGAAATGGAACCCGCATATCGCCACACGCGTTGATGAGCTTCACGAGCGCAACATCACTGGCGCAGGCCAGCGCGTCTGCGTCGTCGACAGTGGTGTAGATGTTTCCCATCCAGCTTTGGTCGGCAAGGTTGCGGGCGGCAAGAACCTGATCGAGACCAACTCAACTGAGCTCACCGACTGCGCCGGCCACGGAACCTTCGTCTCTTCCGTCATTGCGGCATCGCATAAGGACTTCTCTGGCGTTGCTCCTGACTCGGAAATCTACATGTACAAGGTCTTTGGGTGCGAGGACTCGACTTCCAACGACATGGTCCTCAAGGGTATGCTTGCTGCCGACTCAGACGACTGCGACATTATTTCGGTGTCCATTGGAAGCAATACTGGCTATGCCAACTCCGTTCTCTCCCGCGTCGCGAGCGAGATTGCTCAGGACAGACTCATCATCATCGCTGCCGGTAACTCGGGTGAGATGGGGCCGTACTTTGCCAGCTCTCCTGCTGCAGGCCGCGGTGTTGTCTCGGTTGGGTCTGTTGAGGCTTCACAGACTCTTGGATGGCCAGCGATGCTTGTATCTTCCAGCGGTCAATCGTTGAACATTTCATATGTCACACCCGATGGCACCAAGTTCAATCAGACAGTCGATGTCCCTATCGTTCTAGACAGCGGCGACTCTTGCAACATCGCTGGCTCTGGGTCTGAAGACACGGCCGTGCTGGCTAAGCGCGGTGTATGCCCTCCCGCAAGCTCATACTCTTCCATCGCAAGCGGCGGCTTCGGGTTCGGCATCCTCTTCGACTCGTACAAGCAGGGCGCTTACTACATGTCTGATGTGACCCCCTGGTCCGACACACTCAAGCTGATGGCAGTGACAACGGCCTCTGTTGGTGACTGGGCCGCGACGCAGCTTGTAAAAAACTACACTCTTCGTCTCCAGATCCAGGCAGACGCCCAGCCCGCAGCATTCGCCGCAGAGATTCCCAGCTCCGGCCAGATCTCGAGCTACACATCCTGGGGCCCAACATACGAAAATGGCTTTTCGCCGATCGTCTCAGCCCCCGGAGGTGTTGTCTATGGTGCCTTTCCCGATAACCGGTATTCTATCTCATCAGGAACCTCATTTGCGACGCCTTACATCTCTGGTGTTGCAGCCTTGTGGTTTGCGTATGCAAAGAAGGATCGCGCTGAATTCGTCCGGCGTTTGACTTCAACTGCCGTTGCTCTCCCTGCTTTCGATAACGGCGACGCCCGTGTCGTGGCGGAGATTGCTTCTCTTGCTCAGCAAGGTGCTGGTCTCATTGATGCTTCCAAGCTGTTTGACAGCACTACGGTCTTGCTTTCTGAGCCGACCCTCTCATTGAATGATACCGACAACCGTGTCACAACGCATACCATTCGCATCCAGAACACCGGGACTGAGGAAGTGACTTATAACGTCACGCACATCCCGGCATCTACGGTTGCCTCCAGAAATTCGATCTGGTACCCCAACGTCTACTATCCGCCTCTCCTGTCCGCTACCGGCTCACTTACAGATGCAAAGACTGTCACTGTTCCTGCTGGAGCTACTCAGGAGATCGAGGTCACTCTGTCTGCCCCGTCTCTCGATGCCGACAGCGGCGCACTTTGGAGTGGCAAAATCCTCTTGGCAGGATCTAATGACGACCTGATCACCATTCCCTACATCGGTGTCGAAGCTTCGACGTACAACTGGACTCCGCTACACCACGGCCCAGAGTCATACCGATACGATGATTCTAACGGTGACCTGCTTCCGATCGACTATCAAGGGCGGGCCTATCGTCCAGCCGAGGGCGAGTCACCGGAGACCTACTTCGCCTTCAGGTACGGTACATACGAGTTCTCAGTGGACTTGGTCGGCGTGGATTGGACCACAGAACAGTTCTCGTACCCACCCCAACATGGTTCCGGATCCAAGGCTTGGCTTGGCTCTGTCAGATCCCAACCCGTTGTCCCCGGCGGGTACATGGACTTCCCCATGAGGGAAGTTGTCCGCTTCAACCAGGGTAGCTTCATCACCTTCCGTGCATTCGCGAACGGAACCGACATCCCCTCGGGCCGCTACCGCATTTTCACGCGTGCTCTACGCATCTTTGGAGACGCATCCAACCCGAAAGACTGGCAGCTCTTCCTCTCGGACCCGTTCTCAATCCAGCTTGGCAACGATCCCATCCCTGGCCAGAATGCTACTTTCACCACGAGACAACCTTCGGCAACTGCGTCTGCCACAGTTAGCTCCACGGCTGCTCCCGCTACAACATCCGCCGTCGCTACGACCGTTCCCATCTCCGTTCCAGGCCCCACCACAACTCTCACCGCCACTGCCACGCCAACTGGTCTATCAGGCGCTTTCACTTCTCTCAAGCTTCAGCGCCTCCGCGAAGACACTCCATTCATCACCGATCCCGAGGCTTGGATGGAACTCCATGTTCAGATTTCCCTTCCCAGTCCGGCTGCGGCAGACTCGGTCCTGACCTTCGCCGTTCCCGCTGAGATCACCGACATCGCCGAGGGCGACCAACTGTCTGCGTCTGGTGCCCAGGCAGGGTCCACTTCCTTCGACGCGGAAACCCGCCTGTACACTATTGCCCTCGCTGACTGGACTACTTGGAACAAGAACATGGTCGGCGACTTCTTCCTCATGTGCCGCTTCACGCCGGCCTTTGCCGCCTCGATGAAGCAAGGCACATATGTGGTTGAGTTCCCCACTGTTGACAAGGTCCACCAAGCCGCAGTGTACTACACAGCTGTGGACAGATCAACTATCTACGACCGACTGGTGACATCGCCCTATGACGGTGCGAGCTTGTTCACAGTTGAGGCCGAGATTCCCGCCTCGCTGGGCCCATGGGACTACGTTCGCGTGGAGTCGTCCCACTCTAGTGACTTGGACGGTTTCGTCTGTGACAATTCTAGCGTCATTGTTGGGCACGAGTTTGACGCCGAGAATCGTATCACGAGTTTCACTGATGTTACTGCCGAAGCCGTGGAGGTTTGCAACGTGAAGAACTTCCGAGCCGTGTACAATCAGACTCTGAGTGGCGATGATGTTCTCCGTTTCACGATGGGAAGCATTCAGGGTGACCGCCAAGCATGGACGCTTAACCTCGTCTACCTTTTAGATATCCAGTTGTCAAACGGAACCCTGGTGTTGTACGATGCCAGGAACTGGGCATTTGAGAAGAACCCCCGCTTGAGGAGCCAGTCCTTCAATGCATTCAGTGGCGAGCGCGCCACCTAATCACTTCTTTGATTCCGCCATATAATTACTCTACTTCGTTGTACATATTCATCATCTTCAAGACGCAAAACAGCGTGTATATAAATACAAAATGTCGAGAACTGACATTAACTTGTTTCCTACCCAAGTTTGGTCCGAGAAATCATCAAGCAAATACTTGCCCGCAGCACTGATGTGACATGTACGATAAATTCCTTGATTTCGCCTTGAATCTATGAATGAATTGTGCCTAGCCAGTTGAGCCCATTGTCAAGGTTCAACGATTAGATTGAAGAAGTTCCACTTGCATCGCCAAGATCCTGTGATTCCTGTCAAAAAGCCTTTTGGCAGGTTTGACATGTGCTCTGGGGCTGGTTCGAGTCCGCCACCTTAAAATACCATTTATATAACAAGCTCGTAAATCAGAGTTTTAGGGTCGCATACGTGGGGGGCCCCTCGGATATGACGATCCAGTTCAGAGGTCTTGTCCCGGACCCAGACAGGGATGCTGATTATCAGATGATCTGATAAGATTAGATGGGACGAGCCCGCCGCAGGGGTCCTTTAGGTTCTCGGTCGAATCGGCCCCACTGAATACGCTCAGCAGCCCGCTCCTTTCTGGGATGGATCGGCTGATGGCACCGTGGAGTTGCTTTGCCAAGGTTCATGTCAATAGCGCGCGCGATATCGGTCGGCGCAGTTCAAGGGACGAACTTCCTGTTCTGGACTAAGTTTCTGGGCATGCCGGAGGGAGCAGTCCAGGTGGGACTGGAGGTTGTTGAAGATAAAAAGGGTTGCTTGGTACGGGGCAGTTGAGGGAGAGTTCTTTAGACATCTTCATCCAGCAACTTTCGCGCCTCACTAAGTATCCACATCCACAACTAAACTTCTTCCTACAACTTCAAGATGCGTTTCTCCATTACCTGCGCCGTGGCTTTCGCCGCTTCCTTGGTCTCTGCCACCCCTCTTGTCACCCGCAACCAGGTTTCTTGGGACTTCCCTGAGGAAATGCTCGCCAAGCGCCAGGACGTTCCTGCCCCCGGTACCCCCGCCTATCTCTGCCACGAGAACTGCGGTAAGTGAAGTGTTTGTTCACACAACATCTAGCACAAGCTGATTAATCTTTGCTTGCAGGTACCTCGATCACCCTGTCCCGCGAGGCGGGCTACTGCGAGAACTACCAGTGGATCGCCAGATACGACGCTTGCCTCCAGTGTGCGAACGCCCAGAACGTTTGGCAGTACTACGGCACCTCCGTCACTGCTGCTGCCGCCGCTTGCGGTTTCACTGCCGTTCCGGCTAAGCTCTAGACCACTTCCATCAGGCAGTGAGCTATCGCCTCGTGCTTTGATGTGGAAGATGTGACATCATGATGGAAACGTGTTTGGATCATTTTAGTAATGAAGATGTATATAATGATAAGAAAATTCACTGCAAATATTGGAAGGATACACTTTTGGGGCCCAGGCACAAAGTCAGTGAGGCATATGCGAAGCTTTTACATCTACATCTGCAATTGTGCTTCCTTTTGACCCTTACTTATTCTGTTCGAATTACAGATGAAGGCACAGCATAAAGAATGAGGGCTTCTTTGAATCATTGAAACACAGCTATGAATGGGTGAACTATCGACGCTTCGAGACGGTCTTTTCAAAGGTTCGTAGGCGTATTCGTCGATAAGTACAGCTAAGTCTTTGCGCTAGAAAGAACCATCGTCACGTTGTGAAAGTAAGCAGAGAACCGAAATTCAAATTCAATGTTCCAGGCTTTCGCCCAGCCAAACTAAATACAGATTGGGAAAATTCCCCACAGATCGCCTGCATGCCATACTAGCCAAGGCCTACTTCGATGCTATGATTCCGCTCTTCAAAGGCCAATCCAAATTGAAGGCAGATCTTTCGGAAACAGTAGTGGCAATGGTCCTCTCGTCTGTAGAATGAGCCCGGCTGCGTCGAGGAGTCGAATCGTAGCTGTGTCTTTGAAGCGATTGCCCAGCAGATGTCCCTGATCTGTCATCCATGGCAAGTAAAACCGGCGGCCCTTGCGACTGATTATCAGTCTGATCAAAGATAGTCGGATAAGACATGCCTGGGGACTTTTCATGGATATCATCGAAAACGTCCACGAAGTGAGTGAAGTACGCAATCCTTCTAATGCGAGGGTCACCACCGTAGACATTTCGGCCCCAAATTTGACCCACCAGTCGCTGACTTTCCATCTCGATGATGGCGGCACCCGAGTCGCCCGGCATGCCAATACCGCCGGTATTCCATTGGCCTTGTGAAATCATTCCTGGCCAGCCTTCCTCATTCTCCACGTACCACTCTCTAGTTCTAGTTCCTGTTGATGAATGCTTCACTGCGGCCGGTGTTTCACATACAACGCCATATCTGAGACCGCTGCTTCTTCCGCTGCACTGGATAACATGCAGTCCAGGATTTTCAAGGAAAAGTCCAGGAATATCGTCCGAGTTCCCTTCAACCTCTCTTTCTTGGGGGACAAAACGAAGGCAATTCCTCATCTTCAGGTTTGTCTCCAGCGCAAGAAACACCGCCCAGTCAGTAGTAACATGTGGCGAGTCTTGATTCTTGGATGGTATGAAGGCCTGAAGTGTCCTGGAAATTCTGCATGTCATGTACGCCGGTCCCGATTCCGCGTGGAGCTCAGCGATGGGTTGAGTTTGGCTATTTTCAGGACAGTCAACGCCCGCTGGATGGACAAGATGGAGCGAGGGTGAAGGTTTTGCTCCGGTTGTGGAGAGTGTATCGAATAGGTGACGACTGACAATGTATCCAAGCTTCCCATTGAAATTAATCTTGGGGCCGAGAGTCGCTGCGCCTTCTATCCCATCACAACCGATTGAGTCGCCCAGCATAAGCTGGCTACGGGCAATCGTGTTGATAGGGCCATCCCAGCCTTCTTCAAGCATCGCCGGGGCTGATGATGATGTATCAGCGCTTGGCTCGACAGTCCCTTCGACAAATTGAAAGCCAACACTGAGCGAGATCATTGGTTCAATTCTGAAGATGCGCAAAACTGCCGCTTCGACCTTTTCACTGATGTCGTCTCGAAGCTCAATCTCGGTCATGACTTCGATAATTCGTTGGCTGTGGACATAATCGAATTGAACTGTGACGCTGTAGTCGCCCTTATATTTGGCTTCCATAGTTTCTTGGAGACAAGGAAGTGCCTTCTCTTCCCATATCTTGTTGAAAACCTTGCTCGTTTCTGCTCTGGCGCGAAGTCTGGTGCGGGGATCCTGGAGGTTTCTTGAAGAATTCGACATCTTGGTCCTAGGGAAAGTGCTGGCAGTCTGTACGAGTTTAGGTCGAGTCTCGTCTTCCGCGTTATTCATAGACAATACAACAGCATTGCTAGAGCCATATGATCTTTCAGAGCGAATTGGCACCGTTCTGGCTCTCGGAGGACCGTGGTAGTCTCGCTCAGAATGACGAGGTCCCTGGTAGACAGCAAAAATGGGAGGTAAGCAATTAAGCTTCTTCAATCCTGACTTAATTGACTTCCCGCTGCTGCTCAGGGTACTGATAATAGTCGACGTCCTTCGTGGGCGAGGCCAGGTCTTGTCCGAACGCGGATTCGAGGGCTGCGCCTCGTTCTCACCCTGCTCAGCTGAGAAAGTGACCGCGCGTCCGGGCGTAGGCCGGATCTGCTGAGTTTCCGATTCAGACTTATGTCTCTGTCGATAGGTTTGGCATCCATCGTTCCTGAATGTCCGCTGCTGTGGATTATTTGTGTCTTTGTCCCTCCCAGACTCGACCTTGTCATGGCGGTAGCCGGTTTTCTCTCTGGGCCGAAACGTGTTAGTTTGGGTGTTTGCTTAGGCGTCAAATACGTTGTAAATTTTATGGAGTATTTCAAATACCTGTCGTCGTATTCATGTGTGTTATGTCGGCTGATTCTCGGCCGCGAGCTTCTTAGTCTGTTCCATACACGACGAACTTGGCTCTGGCTTGGCATATTTGATGTGAGTGCTACCGGGGCTAGGTCGTAATTGGGAAGCAACGCGTCGTCGCCAACGCCGATATAAGCTAGGAGCAGTGCCCAACTCGTAAACTGCGACGAATTGCACAGACCTAGAACGGATTCATCGCCACCTATGTATACCCAGAATCCCTCCAGAGCCTTACAACAAATCAGCCGCAAATTCCATCGCGATGGGAACGATGACACCGAAAAGCCCTGTAGCCTTATTAGTTACGGGGCTGTGCAGCCGAAGTGGAAAAACGCCCAAGGGAGTTGAGGCAGCCCAATGGGGGCACCACCATGTCCCAACGCATGCGGCTGGGCTTATGCGGTTAGCGTATGACAAGGTAGGAATGGCCGCCCGAATCCTGCAGGCGGAGCAGCAATAATTCGTCTTAGGCGTCTGAAGTTGCATTTTCAGCTCATTTTCTGGGTCGCAGTAGCGGTCATCAGGCGTACTTATGGTGAGACTGGATGCCAACACGAAATGTGGCTTTTTGCACTTTCAAACGTGCAATTGACGATAACGAAGCCGGGCCACGACCACCAACCATTATGATTGAGATTATCCATTTGAAGATTGCTCTACAGTCAAGTGCTCTTGCAGATAACAATCTGACCACCAAGTGGAAGGTCAACTCCGTAAGAACAGCCTGTCGCAGAGCTTTGCAGCAGACGAGTAATGCAATCTAGGCTGGTACACCCGGCCAGCATCCCAGGTTGAAGGATGAAATGTTTTGCAGTGCCAAAGGGGAAGTCCAACACTTAGCTTCACATTACCTTCCGAACGAATGGAACAAATATGGTTCCGATGTAAGTAGGAAATGAGAGCCGCAAAGTCTACGAGGAGTTGTCTGGTTAGGAAGTCACTTTGAATTGTTCTTTGACTACAACCATTGTTGATTGAGGGAAAGTTTCAATCAACAACACAGCCACTACTGAGTAGTATATTCAGCACTTTGAACTTCTTTGAGGCTCAACATTGGTTTGTCTTTACTGAGGTGGTTATTGCTTTGGCCATACACTGCGACTCGTTATCCAATGGAAGGTTTATGGTGGTGAGCGGGTGCAAGGTCTGTCTTAGTCGTCATTTCACAACCACGCACCAAAGCCATGTTACGCGTCTAAGCACAACCACCTCGAGCGTCATGTAGCCATATTTCTACGCGTCTAAACAGTAGAGAAGGGTCCGTCACATGACCTGGTGGGCAGGTACTCAAAAACATAATTAATTTTGATCTTGTTGTTTTGATTCCAACCAAAGCAACCCGAATTATCACCACCTCCCACCCTACCAAACTTTCATTGCTCCTCTCATCAAACACATCGAAATCGCGCCAGTCATCATCATGAAGGCCATCAATATGTTTCTCCTCCTTGCCGGCATCTTTCTGATGATGCTTGGCGTTCAGTACGACGAGCGCGAGGGCGAGCGTCGCGACCAGCTCCCTCTTGGCTGGTTCGGCGGTGTTTTCTTCCGCGGTGTCGCGGCTCAAGACAGCACCACCCCCTACGACCGTTGCTTCGCTGTCCCCGATACGTCTTCCATCAATCAGACTTCTGTCAATCACATCGAGAGTGACGACTACTTCAAGACGGCCGGTGACAACATCTACGCGGTCCCCGGCTCCCTCGACTTCTGTCCTATCGACTCCTTCGACGAATTCAAGCACACCATTGAGGACAAGCTTTCCGGCATCAAGGAGGGCGTTGAGCGTGATATCAAGGCCATTGTGTCTGCCGTCAGCGACCACGCTCACAGCTTCGGCAATAATGCATTGTCCTACCTCGTTCGCATCGTCTCCTTCGGTTTCTACTCTGTCGATGACCTTGAGGCCATCGTGACCGCGGATCCTTGCGAAACCCACCATGATGACGATCCCGACTTCGTCCCCATTATCGAAGCTCTGGGAGACTTCATCGTTGAACATGTCATCGAGCTCAAGACTGGAATCCACAACTGCTTTGCCTCTGTCCACTACTGGATTATCACTCGCTCGACCAACTTCATCTACCTGTCCTTCATGAGCGCTGGCTTGACTGTCATGGCGGCTCCTGGCCTCGTGTCTGGACCAGTCTTGTGTGCCATTACTTGGGGCATGCCTAAGTTCGTCAGTGGTAAGTCTCCCGAGCTCCCCTGAACAAGGCCGCGATGTACAAAATTGCTAAGTGCGATTTGCAGAGTGGCTTACCGCCCTGGTCATGCACATGTTCCACGAAGAGCCCGCCGTCGGTATCATCCGACTCTGCGAGAGTGCCATGACCGGTGGCCCGGGCCTCGAGGCCTTCGACTACCTGATCAAGACCAGTGGTCTCGCCGCTGTTCTCCTCGCGTTCGCCGGTCTTGTGGCTGACTTGACCAACAAGTAGAAGATGGGAAGCTTACGGAGCCGGGACGATGTCTAGGTCGGCTGGGCTACACTTGTTTGGACTGGCTATTGCTTGGAAACGCCCTTCTGGCTCTTTCTTTCATCTCCGTTGCTTGTCTCTGGCTGCGGCCAACATCGCGTGGTTATCCCTGAAGGAGAGGGGAATAACTAGTCTAGGATCGTGGTCAAAGATACCACCATGGAATTGAGGCATATTTCTGACCTCAATGAGATACCTCGTGGTCCCGAATTCGTGATGAAATTTGATCATGTCGCTAGCGGACGCCTCCATTCTGTGTCTACGGCTGCTGGGCTCGGTCATAATGGCAACCGAGATGCTTGCGTAAATTTGGCCAACATTGCTGCCTCAGCTATTATTTGGGTGTTGCATCAAATCGCTGAGATCAAAAACGTCCTCCTTGTATTTAGTACTGAGCATTGGCTTCAAAAAGCTCCAGTACAATGGCTGGCTCGAGATGTGTTTGCTTCCTGTGGCTAGGTTGCAGGCTTCATTTGTTGGTTTCATTGCCCTTGCTTGCAATATAAGTCTAGATAAACTAGTACGCTTCTGGAGTCGGAAGAACTCGAGATACTGAGAAATAAAAGGCGGTGGCTCTCTCGGAGGTTCGGCCGGAAGGTTCTCACCCCACTCTCGGCCGGTTCACCCATGCATCCTGAAGTACCCACTGCGAGGGCTTCAACCCCACGTTACGTCCCACACAACCAGCAATTGCGAGGGAACCATTCATGAAACAGTCGGTCTATTAGTCTAGTTGGTTAGGACGTCGGATTCTGATCTCACAATCAGTCCCTTCCGTAAGCCCAGGTTCGAATCCTGGATGGACCTTCTTTTGCTGTTTTGATGCCCTCACTTTATGTGGTCTAGGCGCTCATTTTTGCCGGACGAACTCCGTTCAGCATACCTCATGAATTTGTGAATAAAATTTCTACTTTTAAGCTATCATACAGACCGTTACTTCATTAAAATGTTCCTCCATCATCGACCTTGGCCGTCTTGCCGCCCAAGTACTGAAAGTCACCATCCCCTCTGACCCCAATCGTGAACACTCTTGCTTGCCCCAACGCACGCTGGAACCATCCCAACCGGAAATTTTGATCGGATAGCCTACCGTGAAGCTCGTCTGTCGACAACAACTGGGTGCTCTCCGGCAGATGATCTGACGCATTGGACCCTCGCAACAGCGCACCCATGGTGGCCATACTGTGAAACCCATCCGGAGCCAGGCCCTTGACATCCAAGTGGAATGGCCAGTTCCTTCCCACAATACGCTTTGTTACCACGGACAGCACCGCGGAAATGTGAGTTAAAGCCACGGCTACGAGGATCGCAACCAAGATGTACGAAACCGTTGCGTTCTGCACCAGGCGACGTCTTCCGATGTCGCTCACAACTGCTTCCAAAGTTGGAAGCTCGTCAGGCGGCGCCGCGTTCCTGGAGCGTGATGTCAGATTGTATCGATTTTCGATGTTGACCAGCTGCGCGGCAACAAGGCCGTAGTTGTGTTGCAAGCCCTGCAGGATCTCTTCATCCTGGCCCGCGTCTCCGAGTGCTTCGAGAGGAAGTTTTCCAAACGGCTCTATCAACGCTTTGAACTGTTCGCCGATCCAACCAGCAAGCAAGTCGGCGACGGCTAGTTGGGGATAGGCATCGCCAACTTGGATGTTGATGAATTGTTGATCGACATGGGGTATGTCCAGAGTAGGCGTCCACGGCTTGATCGTAGACAGATCTGCTTGAGGGGGTCTTTCGGGGTCCAAGACGTACTCGCCATCGTTCGCGGCCAGATGAACCTGCGTGGTTGCTTCGACCCAGGTGTAGTTGCATCTCCACATTGAGAAGTAATCGAAGCCATTCTTTTCCGTCGAAAATTTGCCCCAAGCGTACGTCTGGAATCTCCATGACGCATACTCATAATCGGTGACGTTAACACCTAGACTACAAGCCATGTTGATATCGGCCGTGTTCTGGGGGGAATAGAAAACATCCGCCATGTACGAGACACCAAGTCGATTCGTAGCGACGCCCATGTCCAAGCGGTTCAACAGCTCGGCTGCAGTACCGTTTGGGCAGGTGAACTGTTGGGTGATGACGGCCTCGTAGTACTTCGTCTCTTCTACCCAACTGGTGATGTTGATATCATAATCTGACTCGGGCACTTTGAAACACTCCATCGAGTGCAGCTTTGCCGCTGGTAACGTAGCAGTAATGGTTGTGTTTGGTGATAGAGGAACTGTGTCAACACCTCCAAGTACCGGAAACACAAGATCATCGTAGGTGTTCTTTGGGTACGCCAGCGACGCTTCACCTTGTCTGGTCACAAGACTGCTCAGCAGTTGCCGGTTGCTCCTCGAAAGAGACAGTCCATCAAGTCCTCTCCCAATCTCTGTCGAGCCAAACCAACTTTCCTGTTGGAGCTGGATTTTGTGAGAGTCAGGAATAGACTCGACCGTGAAAATGACAGATACTAATGTCGTAAGGAAGGCGCAAGTAATCGCGAGTGATTGTGACAATGTCACGGCCCAGACGCGCTTCCTTAGAGAAAGGTAGAGGGCTCGAAGGCCCAGCATATCCATCAAGGAAACATCGAGATCCCTCGCACTGCATGAGCGAGTAGAAAGACACGAGAGGATAGCCAGACCCCTGTACGCGAAGTCGCAGCAGCTTGTGTACAGAGAGACGCCGAGCATGACCAGAGCCGGGATCGAAGTCCAAAGCAAATGAAGGTACCCTTCCTCGCTTACTGTTGCCAGCCCCTGCGATATCTCCGAGACCCTCAAAGCGTACAAGAGCCCGACAACAATGGCGAATGTGAGCAAAGAAGACAGAGCTCGAGCCCAGGTTCTCAAGACCAGTGGGGTAAAGTCGCAATGGCTCCAGACCGTTGACGGAGAGGTACTATGGGCAACGCGGTCCGCGAGGTCAGGATGTTCTTTGAAGAAGATCATGTTGCCGAGAATCGTCGCGGGGTCTCTGTACCAGACCGCGGTGCGACTCGTGTGCCGAAGCAATACTGATGCAACCACAAGACTGAGCAGAGCAAACAGCGCTGCCATGGTCCAGCAGACCCATTGATTGACAACCAGCTTGCTGACGCTGTCGACGTTAGTCCCGGCCACAGCTGGTTGAGACTCGTCGTCCAGCCGAAGCCGATAGTGTCCCAGCAAGGGCCCAAGGGCTTGGGACATATTCAATACCGCGAACTGGAGGATCTCGTTGGTATATAATAACGGATTCGAGACGTTCACTGCCACTGCGAGCGATTCCCCTCTGAATTGGGAGAGAGAATCAACCGGCCCTGCAACCATGCCAACACCCGTAGTACCCCAGCGACCACCGGCCTCAGGCATAGCCGAGTTGAGCATCGTCCAAAGGTCAGCAGTGACCGGCGTCTTTACTACGTTTGGCAACTCTGTAACGTTAGGGCTGACACCGTCGTCGACGACTCTGACCTTTGACACCCAGCCGGTAGACGTGCAGAGTACCGCTGCAACGTTGAGGAAGTCCGGCTGCGATGCATTCTTGGTTGAGCCCCCGAATCTCGCCGCATAGTAAAGCGACTGGTTGAACTGCTGCGGCAAGTTAGGACAAGGCTTTCCAACCGAATTGGTGACCACCCAATTGCCGGTGGTCTGTCCTTTCGCAGTCTTGTTCTTGTCCCACAGGATCCGGTCGCTAATCACAGGTACTTGTGCGTCGCAGCCCGGAAACGTAAGACTGACATTGAACGTGTGATAGTTGACGCTGGAGACGGTTGGTGCGGATGCGGTGTAGTCCTCCATCTTCAGACACTCGATTTTCGAAAAGTAGCCGTCGACGTCGACGCTCAGGGGCGAGCTGGTCGTGCCGCGCGCGGTGCCGTTACTGAATTTGAAGGTCTGGTATGCCAAGTTCTCGTTAACGCCGAAGGGGAAGCGCATGTCGAAGTTGACGAGAGCCTTCGCCATGTAGTAAGCGCTTCCTTCTGTATAAGTCGTGGCCGGAGCGGTTGTGTTGAAAGAGTTAAGGACTTGGATTTCGGCTGGTTCGGAGACTCTGATGGCGGCTAGGCTGTAGAGGGAGGGCGCGAGAACGATCTGGATTTTGAGGATGAGAGAGACAAAACAGATGAGGAAGACGAAGTAATGCTTTCTTTTCAAGGATTGAAAGAGAATTGCGGGGGACAGCATGGCTGTGTAATCGAGGTTGTAGATGTCTTCATCCTTGCTCTGCTCTTGTGCTCGACGGTAGGCCATCCAAGGCATGTATCGAATGGCTTGAATCTCGACTCGGGCCCAAAACAAGGAGATGATGGTTAGGACTAGGATGAATGAAAGTCAGCAGTCTATTTCCCGTCCTCAATTGATTTGCACTTACTTGCGGTCGGGCCGAATCGCCACAGGTAGACAAGATTCTCTCTCGTTCTGACAAGGCCATCGTTTTCCTGCGAGTACCAAAGCATCACGGGAAGGACGATTGTCAAGGCGATGAACAGTGCCAGGAAGCTTGATAGAGTGACTGGTCGGAGCCAGACCGGGCGCCATCTCACATTCTCCACGCGGTGGATAGAATTCCCACCTCCCTTCGCGCTGCCCTTTTCCGAACTAAAGGTCGGATCGCTCAGTAGTCCATGGTGGCTGTCCGGTGTCGGGCGAATATCCACAGGAGTTTCCATTGGATATGCGTCATTTTCCTTCGTTGTGAAAGGCTTCGTGGATGGCCGACCGTAGCTACCGGTGAAGTAATCGTTGGCGCCGAGCGCCGAGGTCCGGGAGTCCGTGCCGTGCGGCGCCATTCCGGTAGTCAGGCCGGGGCTACGCCTGATTAACTTTCGGAGGATTCGATTGTACCCGCTCAGCGGGCGTAGGGCTTGGATCGGATCGCGAAAAGAGGCAGCCTCAATGCATCTATCCTATCATGACCACATGGCTGAACGGCAATGCCAAGACATACACGTTAAGAACTTTGGTAGAAACCATTCGGGGGCGCAGCGGTGTTCACTTATGTATGGAGAGGTCGTAGGATTCAACGTTGCGGGCCCATCTTCCCACGGCCAGGGGAAGAGTTTCCTATCCGCCAACCACATGGTCAACTCTCCCGATCGCGAGTTCGCTGACCAGTGAGGGCAATTTTCTTCTGAGCCGCGCCTGGTTTTAGACCCCAGAAGCCTTGCATTAGATCCGGATGCCGCTTCAGCTTGCGCTTGGCAATGCATGTCAGACTCAAAACTGGCAGCCGGCACGTTGAAGGAGGGACTTCAGTACGACCCCTGCATGCCGCCACAAATCATCGCCTTCTCAGTCAATCATGAGTCTGCAATGACCGAATCGATGGAGTGCGGACAAGGGCTCAACGTATATCGGACTCTGTAAAGGTCGATTTGGGCCACAGGCTCGGGTCTCTAAATGGTTGCCTAAGAAGTGGTTCACTTTTTATGGCGGTGTTTTGTGTCTTTAGGCAGCACGGTAGCATCACCTCCAAACCCCGCTTTCCGGCGGCTAGCTGAAGACCATGAACAGGGGGTCCTCCCGGGCTGACGGTGGGAGTCTGGAGATGGGCCAGACCCAACCTTTCCAAATCCTCCCAAGTTTTAGCTAAAATTTGAGAGCGCGCTTGCTGATGCCTCTGGGGTTGTCATTGGACACGAGCACGCGATGGCGTAAATCTTGATGCACAGCCGTTGAGACCAAGAGATGTAGTGGCTGCCTGTCATATTACAATAGCGCTGACCCAATCTCTTCCATCGCGACAACTGATGTTCATATTCTTCTAAGACGATTTCGCATCAGGTAATGACAATGTGTACTGATTATCATCGTGGCGGGTAAGTTGGGGAAAGCCCTGACTCCTTGGGCAGACAGATACTATGCAGTACACTAGCGAATTCCATCTTCTACCTTCAGCCACATCCAATTTGTGGAAAGTCAGAGACAATTGTTAGGACGGGTATGCAGCCGACTATCATCACGTAGATTCGTTTTCAGCTCTGTGCTTCCAGTTTAACCTTCAGGCCAATCATGGATAGACCAACAAGCAAATGCCAGAATGTTTGCAGGTGCGTTCGTTCTTGCGGTACGGACCGCGCATTTGCGTTCCTGCGTCATGGCAGGGGTTGCCGGCTTCGTGGGGCTGGGCTGACTCGGACGGGCTTGAATGGGTCCTGATAAGGTGACAGCGTCTGCTCTATCTCACATTCATCGTTCATGATCAGTTCAAGGCCCGAGGTGTCGTGTTGACTGTTTTTCAAAAGACCGACGCCCCCAAATCGACTTCTATCTCGAGTTTCACATGAAAGTGTCTCATAGCCTTCGTAACACCGATATTGATGAATCAACCCCGAATCCTACATACCCCCGTTGCTATCCCATCCCCTCGCTGTTTGGGCCGCAGAATCTTCAAGCCCGACCGACGGCAATAAGCACGGAAACCCACTCTCCAAGTTGCACTAAGCAGTTCTGAGGCCCCCGATACCACTCCAAAGTGAGATGACGTCCTGCGTAGGACCGGGCCGGCCACCCGTAAAAACTTGTGATTAATTGGGTCCAATTCAAGATAAGAAAATTCGGTCTCCTTTGCGAAAATTCGCCTCTCTCCTTCTTTCCTCCCTTTCGATCACCAAGACACGGCATGCTTCCAAGTTGACAATAGCGACGCTGGAGGCGTCGGCTTCATAGACGAAGTTATCATCAAAATTCATTACTGCAGACCCAAATTGCGCCCCGGCGCAAAGAAGAAAAGAACACGCCATCTTTGATTGCTCGCGTGCGCACGCGACCAAGCGAAAGTTCTCCGCCCTCATGGCCGCTCCACAACAACACACCAGCGACTTTGAAGAACACGAAGTCATCCCCGGCACGCGCCGCCTCTACGACGAGAATGGCAGCACCTTCTCCAGCGATGCGTCGCTCCTGAAGCACGGCGACATCGTCCTCGTCCCGCAGCCGACGGACTCCCCCAATGACCCCCTGCGATGGTCGCTTGCGCGCAAAATCTGGCACTCCTGTCTGGTGTTGTACATTGTGGGTCTGACGGCTGCTACTTCGAACAACGCCGGCTCGGGCGCGGACGGCGTCAATGAGGAGTACGGCATCAGTTACGACGTGTTCAACACCGGTGCCGGTGTCTTGTTCGTTGCGATTGGGTACTGGACGTTGCTAAGCTCGCCGCTCGTCCACTTGTACGGCCGGCGGCTCGGGTATCTTATCTCGATGCTGCTCAACATCGGCGGTCTTATCTGGTACGCGCGCATCACCGACGTCAATGGCGTTGTGTGGTCGCAGTTATTCGTCGGCGCTGCGGAGTCAGTCGGAGAGGCGACGGTCCAACTTTCTCTTCTCGACATCTGGTTTGAGCACCAGACCGGTAGTGTGCTCGGTATTTACACCTTTGCAACGGCCATTGGAACCTACTTGGGACCTCTGATTGGTGCCAACGTGTCTAGCCATCTCGGCTGGCGTTGGATCGGTTGGTTGGGCACCATCATCTGCGGCGTCAGTCTGATCGTACTCTTCTTCGGGCTTGAGGAAACGGAGTTCAACCGCGACAGCTACTTGACTAGTGACATTGATCACGCACCGCACAGCGCCCCGATCGCAGAGAAAACTTCAGAAAATGGCTCTCATGGAAAGGATGCAAGCGCAAATGATGCGACTCAGAAGCGCAGCCAGCTTGTGGAGGAGCACACTAGTCACGATGTTGATCTCGGGCGGACCGAGACCGCCCGCCACCGTGCCTCTGTTTCCTATGCCCGGCCCAAGACCTACTGGGATAGGATTCGCATCATCACTCCTGCACCCAACCTCCAGGGTACCGGCGCGAAACAGTACTTCCACCGCCTCTGGCACACCCTCCGCGTCTTCACCTTCCCGGCCGTTTGGTACGCCGGCTGGCAGTGGGGTCTCCAGAATATCTGTCTGACGTTCTATCTCACCGTACAGGAGGATTGGTGGTACGGAGAGCCTTGGAACTATACGCCCGCGCAAGTTGGAAACATGAACTTGCCGACCCTCATTGGCAGTCTGATTGGTTGCGCGTACGGTGGCTACGGCAGTGACAAGTTCATGCAGTGGATGATCAAGCGAAACAAGGGCGTCATGGAGGCTGAGTTCCGTCTCTATCTCATGGCGCTATGCACCATTATATTCCCAACAGGCATGTGGCTTTTTGGAATTGGATCAGCACGTGGATGGGACTGGCCCGTTCCGTATGTTGGACTCGGCTTCATTGGCTTTGGCTATGGATGCGCCGGAGACTTGAGTTTGGCATATCTTGCCGATGCCTTCCCGTAAGTTGCAGAAATACTACCATCCGCGCGCTTCAACTAACATCTATGCAGGGAGATGGTTCTCGAGGGCATGGTGGGCGTTGCTGTGATCAACAATACGATCGCCATGGTCTTCACTTTTGTTGCCAGCTACTGGCTCGATACCGGCATGGAGAACTGCTTCATCGTTCTTGGCGTCCTGAGTTTTGTTATCATGGGTACCAGTTTGCCCATGATCATCTATGGCAAGAGATGCAGACGCTGGGCCAAGGACAGGTACTTGAGATTCATCGAAATCCGTGACGGATTTTCCAAGTGAGCCGGTAAATCAGCACTTGGGGACATTGTCGATATGCAATGCAAGGCACACGATCACCTCTGATGATGCTGATTGAGACTAAGCTCATTGTGGAATGTCCGTGGGGGTAGAGAAAAGTTGGCTTCCGTTCGAAAAACAATATTTACTGCTTTTGACGCTAGATGCGTAGGGTGTGAATGGACCAGGAGGTCTCCTGATGTTTCCTTTAGTCATACAAAATTTCACACTGGTGTTCTACTGGAATTCGTTCTGCGAAGCACTCCAGCGTGAATTTCTGTATGACTATAGGAGACATACGGAGCCTTTCTACTCCATCCACACCCTACATACCTATGTATCTAGCCGCCCCTGTCAACCTTTTCTTCGTCATACCGGTACCTGAGTCCACAACTTAATCAAGACCAAACTGCGAAGTCAATTGATGATACATGTATGATTCTAATGTAACATGGACTCCAGCCACGCGACTGCCTCAGTATCATAGTCTGAGGGATAAGCCATGTGGGCAGTGAGGTTGCCTGTTCCGCGAGCATCGCAGACTCCGTCGTGATAGTTGCAGTAGTCATGGACTCTGTCGGCGTAAAGGTTGAATGCAGCAAGCTGCTTGGCTGTCCGAGGGTATTTCTACGAGGGTGAAGTTAGCCTATCGGTGTATCCTCAAATGCAGGGAATTAGACGCGACACACCCCTGTGGCGTCGAAGGCGGACGCGTTGCCCACGTTGTAAGTCTGGTTCGGCACGTGCCGGGGATTTCCATAGAGAAGAATCGCCGCAACTTGAAGATCATACGTCAGTATTCACCGGCTTTTGATTATTCTTTCCCATCCTTACTCTGCTGGCCGACTGTGGATGAGTCAATGGAGGGCTGGGTCAAGTTGCCCAGGATCCCATTGTCGCCACCCCCGGCCAAGATGTCTCCCAGAACCATCGCGCCTTGCGAGTAACCCAGCAGGACGATCTTTGCCTTGGGGCAAGATTGCGCGTATTCAGTGATCTGTTTCGCGCCATTCGAAACCCCTTGGAAGTAGCTGTCGCTCCCGGTCTCGTCGGTGGCGGGATATACAATATCTGCGTAGTTGCTGTTCGGGAAGGCTTCCATCAACGGGTCGATGATTGTAATAAGGCTCCCAGGGTAAGACAGAGTCGTGCCGCGAGCCTCAAAGTAGTGAATATCGGCGCAAGTGGTGTTGACATCCTGACGAGGGAGGAAAGCAGTCGATTCAGCCAGGATTGGCAGAGCCAGTCCGATGGCTGCCACTTTGCCGAGGAAAGACATAATAGGATGAAGGCTTCAATAGTCGGAAGGCTCACGATCCTCTTGGAATGATTTGGAGTGATTAAATCATTGATGGTCTCTTTATATCATCACGGTGGTAGCTGAGGCCGCGTCATGGCGGATAGTCGGCCTCTATGAGAGGACCCTTACATCTCTTGTGATTGTAGACAGCTCATTATTAGATTAAAGATCCTCGTAGGTCTGTGTCAACTGAGTTGCACGGATCAGGTCCGTTGTCTCCGAGGTCCATTCCGCTGTGGGGCAAGTCCGAGGTCGATCTCCCCGGATGAGGTCTCATTGGGCCTGGCTTCATCGATCAGGACCAATATACCGGTAAGTTGCTAGAAGCGTGGGGAATCGAGCTTTACTATCCGGTAGCGGTGAATGTTAGATGCGTGAAGACCGATACCGCTGCATGATTACTTATCATAACCGGTGTCTGTGGTGTCACTCAGCCAAAGATCAGGGGCATCGGAGTTATCTAAGCCCGCAGGAGAAACATGCGCATGCACATTTGATCTCATTCAGCAATGGCGATGATTTAACGGATGGATGTCTTCGATTACAATTACTATTAGCACCCCTACTTCAAATATCTCAAGCCCTCCACAAGAACATCCAAGCCCCAACTCTACGACGCGTACTCGGCAACGATGGTATCGGCGACCTTCTCAACCAGCTGGTGAATCCACATGATGGGGAAGAACCCAGGCAGTCTGTTACAAGCGCTCAGGTCGGAGACACGCAAGCCATCGATGCCCCTCACTCGCAAGTCGCCGTCTAAGACAGCCATCGGGTCGTCTTCGCGGCCGATAGGAGCCGAGCACGCGGCGTGATGGCCCCAGTTCTCGTCGCGAATGAACTGGTCAAGCGCATCGCCCGTAACATCAGCGCCGGGCCACGCCTCCTCAAAGACACCATCGAAAACTTCTCCAAGCCCAGAGGTGAGTGAGCCGTTGCTGCCAGAGAGCACGCCTCCAATCGGCAGCACGTTCTCCATGACGCGGCGAGCGTACTCATACCCCTCGCGGATGGCCGTCAGATCCTTCGCCGCGTCTTCGTCATTATTGAACCTCTTGAAGTTGATCAAAGGCGTGTCGCGCGGGTCCGTTGAGCGGAGAGTAACACTGCCGGCGTTGTTGCGCTGGTGCGCTTTGAGGATGATCCAAGCCCAATGGTTGGAGTCAGCGATGGCGCCTTGCGACCAGCCTGGGTAGTAGCCGGTGAAGTTGGCTGGTCCGCCGAGGATAATGACGTCGGGCTCGCCGCGCTCCGTGGTTGTTGAGTTGCGGATCATGGCAATGGCGATACCGTTCGATGCATACGCGCCGCGAGTGGTTTGCGTGGTGCCGTCGACAAAGGTCTTCATACAGGGATCGAGTTCCGGGTCCGGATGCCATGTGCACTTCTCGGTGAGTGCGAATGAGGTCGGGGTCTTAGAGACCATGGTCTGCTCGTAGCGATCTTGGAGGTTGGTGCCAACTCCTGGGAGGTCCAGAACTACATCGATGCCAAGAGACTCGAGTTCTTCACGGGGCCCGACGCCTGACAACTTGAGAATCTGGGGCGTGTTGTAGGCGCCGCCTGCGACGATGACTTCTTTAGTTGCTGTGACGTGGCCGGTGCCTAATGGCTGTGCGGTCTTGGAGCGGGGGTCGGCACGGTAGAGCGCTGCTCCAGACATGTAGTCGACACCGTTTGCGCGAGGCTTCTCGCCGGATGTATCGAAGGTGACCTTGGTGGCGAGCGTATCAAGCATGATGTCAAGGTGATACTTCCGGCTGCCGTCAGAGTTGGTCGCAAGAGCGGTGTCAACAATCAAATCGTAGACTCCACCGCGTCTCGAATCTGAGCGCATCACCAGCGGGACCTGATATACTTCAGGGACCATGAGTTGACCGGGCGCATTGATATCTGATGTCAAAACACTGGCGAGATAAGTCGCGGTGGCCACGACTTCTCCGATGATTGTCTTGCCAAAAGCCGTGCAGGCCGCCAAGAGTACAGAGACGATCTTGATGTCCGTCGCGGCGGTGATGAGCGAGGTGTATCGCATCGGGTACCAGCCTGAGGAGCCCGAGTTGAGCGAGTGTGGCTGGTAGGCGACGTTGGTGACCCGGTTGAGGTACTGTCTCATGTTGCCAGATGCGTATGAATCATCGCCAGTCAGTTCAGCCATGTCATCCCAGTCCATGTCGTAGGGCTGCAAGCTGAACAGGGCATTATGGCGGGAGCACCCGCCAAGAGCCCCGGTACGCGGGTAAAGAATGCCAAGCGGCTCGGCGTTCTCGGGGATCTGATCGGGCGTCGCGGTGGTGCCAAGGTTGCCTGTGGCATTGTACGCCGTCCAGTATTTGCCCTCGGTGGTGTTGTAAGTCATCTTGGAGTCGCGCTTGTCGAGGTCCGTGTCGGCGTATTTGTTCACGTAAAATTCCCAAGCCAAGCTCCAGTCTTCCGTCGAAGCCAGGTTCATGGCTGGCACGGATTGGATCAACTGGAGACCACCGTCGCCGCCGGCCTCGATAAGCAGCACCTTGAACCCGGCGATGGCCAAGTTCGAGCACATATGGCCGCCTCCCGGGCCGGAGCCGATGCAAACAAAGTCGTACTCATCGGTTGTGTTTCGGGGAAGGTCGTGGTCGTACTGTCGCTTAGTGTTGATGAAGGGGTTGTGTCGGGGCAGTCCCATGACCGCCTGGGCGAGGAGGATGCAGAGTGTGAGGCGCATCGTGATGCACCGGGGATCCCCTCGGCAAAGAACGACTGCGTGAGTTGTTTCCGCGATGTTTCTGGGAAGCGTCCACGATGAGAAGCCCTAGTCTCTGTTTTTGTATTTCTTCAGTAAGAGGGGCGGAAACTCAATGCCGAACCATCCTTCTCCTTTCTCAATTTGCCCTTTTGTCAACAGGGGTAGTAAGGCTGCGATGGGGTAACCGACGATCTTTCCTCAACAACCCCCGGTGGGTAACACTGAAAGTTGAGAAACGGGTAGCACGGGCGGCTGCAAGGACGTTAGATCTAGCCAAGTCAAGCAAAAATGACGAATCTCGGTCCTGGATCATAGGGAAAATTGGAGCTGCCATATTAAGATGCGCGCAACTAGGTAACCCACTCGCCCTGAAGCATGCGGCGGCGGCCGACATGCAGCACGTCCACAATTGTTATCAATCAAGCTTCGGAAAGACTCAAAATCAACATCGAGTGCAGCTACGGAAGCTCAAGTTGTATGCAAGCTACTCGTAGTACAATTGATTTTCGCAAGCCACCCACATATCTGCCAATTTCGACAATCAAGTAAGAGCAACACATTCATGGCACAGATTTCCACTCAGTACCGCGCTCCGAACAACTCAAATAGACGGTAATGATCGGCAAGGTGTAACAGGACTGTCTGAAATGAGAAGCCTAGCAGTTGGACGTCGTGTTACGTATTCATGGGAGTTGATATGTAGTCGGCGGTTGTTGACGTTCTCCCGACGACTCAAATAAAGATACAACCTTCCTTTGGGTTTCGCCTACGGCTGTCTCAAATAAAGTCATGGGTTGTTACGCTGGAATTCTAGTCATGACGCAGGGTCGTTACCAGGTTGGCGATACGCCTATTCGTATTCCTGCCCAGAACATTTCAATCGGTTTATTCTCGTTGAGCGGATTGATTCTTTTTTCTAGAGAATAAGCGCGAGCTGAAGATCCCTGACATTGCATGCCTAGTAAGCTTAATGTGGTATTGACACATACAACCCGAGGTCACCGGTTCACTGTCGGCCTACCACTTTTGGAGAGCATTGTGTCTCTCCTGCTCTAGTGTCCTTCCTCTGTCAGCTGTGCCGCCTTGGCGCATCAACCTCGAAGTGCCTTCAAATGATTAAAAGGCACTCCAAGTACATTTTTCTTGTCCGGCCATCAATAGCTAGATCGCAACCTCAAACCAACCAGGCCCTGCCAGGTTGCTTGTGTCTTCCGACGTCATGGCAGCTTTTCCTGCAACCGCCACGACGCCGCTCACGGTCACTGCACCGTTTGTAGCGCCATCAGACTGCTCAACACAATGGAAAACGACGAATGTGCCTGTGCCTGTGTCAAGCGGCACCACGCTGATGACGCCTATCTTAGTTTACGATCCATCTGCATCTTGTTACCCATCTGGCTCATTTGACCGAGCGCCAGAAAACCGACTCAACTTCAGGCCTGGAGTATGTCCAGATGGCTGGATATATCACAACATGGCAGTAGCCAGTTCAGGGGCTTCAACTGCTTATTGCTGCGACAGGTTCGTCAGGCACCTGTTAATTGTGATCCAGGATTGAGAGTGGAAGTTTTCACCTCACGACAAATGTCCTGACGTGATACTGCAGGGGTTTCGATTTTCGCTTCTTCGACGGATACATCTACGCCACGTCGATCTTCTCGGAACGTTGCGGTCGATACGCTTCTGCCACAGCATTCGGGTCCAGTGTCTCTGAGGACAAGACTCTGATGGTGCACGAAGCCTGGGCCGTGACTTGGGGTGCATCCGACACGCCAACGTTGACGCCCCAACTGCCCACTTTGACAAATTCAATGCTCGTGCCCGTTTGGACACCCGGTGATAGAATCTCTGATGGCATATATGATCACGATGGGGGGAAGGACGGAAATGCCATGAGCAAAACCATGCGTTTGGTTTTGTTGATCGGCTTACCAATCATTGCAGCAATCATTATTTGTCTTATTACATGGTGTGGAGTCAGGAAGTACAGAAGGAGTAAACGAAAGAAGAGAGAACTAAAGGCTCGACGGGGAAAGGCTGTCAGAAGAGACGCAGCGTGAATGGACACGGCAAGGTATGAGGGAATGAATATCCCCGACGAATTTGGCTAGGCATGATACTAGAGTCTACGAGCCTGAGTGACGCCATCATAATAAAATTCCTCTATGGTAATACGCCGCCGCATTGAATTTGACGAGTTCATGTCTGTGATCCAACGTCACAGTCGATTGGCTAGGCATCTCATCAGATCATGCATCAGTTTTCAAATGTAAAAGATTCACCGCATTCCGCTTCACATATTAGAAGACTTTTGGATCGCAGTGACATTGATTCTTAACTAGTCATGACTACTGACGTACAAAAAGGGCCATCTTATACAGATTTCTAGACGTCATATTTATAACCAACGGTATGTGAGTATCACGACCCCTGAAACCAGTCGTCTGGTATCTTAAGCTGATGTCGCCCCGGATCGGCCTCTTAGCAAGGGTATCCAGAGCTGCACTGAGTGGCGGTGCAGCAAGTCTGCTTGCCATTGTTGCATGCGGTGCACCAGTACTGGCGTGCGGTCAACCTCTCGCCGCTGAACATCATGGTGGGAGCTTCAGCGTCGGCAATTGGGGTGGCTGAAACGACGGCAGCTGCGAGAGCGGCGAGAACAAACTTGGTGAACTGCATTTTGTTGTGGGTTGAATTCGGATGAGTCTGTTTTGTGGTGAGGTTAGCACTGGCCCCAACTATGTTGCAATTTGGGCGAGATATTGCAACTTACATGTTGAAGGTGTGTAAGATACGTCGACTACTTGGTCTGATGTTGCTTTGAGGATAGATAATACAGACGATAAGTGTGGAAAGAGACGGATCTTTTATACTTGCCTTCATTCTGAATCTCAATCCCTGAAACATCTTAACAATGCACTCGATGGTAACCGATGTCTCGTATTCGAGAGCGTTCAACATCAGGATGCCTCACGCGCTCCAACTATCTTGCTTGGGGAGTGTCGTAACTGTCGTTCCCTCTTCGTTCCACGAATGGAATCATGTATTCTCATTCTTGATGTTGTCATGATGCCCATTGTGGCCATGTCCTTCGAATCCTTCAAATGCGAGTCTACCAATAGTGCGAAAGCTGAAGTGATGCCAGACTTTAGGCGAACTGACGAAGGATTCGGATACTACGTTAGCATACTTTCTGAACTTCCCCGCATACGGCACAGGCTGACAGGCACCCGCTGCGGGGAAACAACCGCGGTCATTATGATTAGTGCGCTTCATTCAAAAGAACTTTCGGGCACAGTTATGCCTATTCGAGTTAAACTGAGGAGTCGTTTCCCCCAACTTAGGTGTGAAGAGTTGGATCATGGCTTAGATCGACTTCCTCCCAGCTCGGGCATAATCAACTCACCCAAGTCTCAGAGCGAGCGAGGCTATTGATGTTCAACACCATTCACCTGATGGCCACTATGTGCCGCTATAACCGGTCCTGTCATCTTCTCGGTATGCATTGAGACGAGTGTCTCCTCTAGTGACTAAGCTGAGGATTGCTCGAAATATTGAGCTTGACTTGTGCTTGATCTGTTTCGAGCCGTGTAGCGTTACCGCAGCTACAACAAAAATCCTTGGTACTCATAATTTGGAACTGGATTGAGCGTTTCCATCGTGCATCCAAATGCAAGATGCATATGAGTCTCTTGCTCATTAAAAGCAAAGATATATATGTCAATGACTATCAGCAACGTCCTTAGACGTTGTTGGTAAGCTACCGTATTGTCGCTTAGAGTAGCTCGTATCTGCTACAGTTGCTTAATCCTTGGGATGACCGACTTCCTTACGCGCCTAAGATCGCCCATCCGTACCCCCCCTCCTCGCGATGAGTTGCAGCGAAGTCACCGGACTCAGGCTGCAAGCCACAAGCTTGTTCTAATTCTACATGCTAACCAGAGTGCTTGTGTGGCGGGGTCACACTGTTGCAGAGCATGGTAGATCCCATGAGTGAATACGGGTCCAATACCATAGCCGAAGCTCGTAATCGATATTACATAACCTGTTGAGGTTTCCCGAGATCACCATCACAATCCTTCCTGCACCTCAAATTCTTCTCATTCAGGAAGGCTTGCGTGTAGGCATGAAATTATGCCGAAATGCCGTAATAATACAGATTCAAGTAACATAAATTGCCCGAGACACTTGGTCACCGCCCTGAAGTCCCACCCTTTGCATTGACTAGAAAAGGCGGCATCGCACCGGAGATGTCATTTGCGCATGTGACTTTCATCTGAGGCCTTTCATTATCAGTCTTCCTGGTGGGTTCAACGGGTCTCAACGTCGGCGATAGCTGTTTGACAAATCACATAATTTAGACAATGATTCAGCTGGTTGGCCTCCAGCAGTAAACGCAACCTCATCCAACTTAACCCCTCAACAAATCTGCACAATCACCGTACTGATCATAAAAAGGGTCTTACATCACATTAATGGCTCTAATACGTATCCGCTGATTTCATAGTGACGTGGAGAACAGGCGATTGACTCATCGCATGGAAGACGCCACATAGATTGTGAGGCCCATGATTAGAGTGGATTCAACGTAATAACTATTTTTAAAATTTAAGACAGATGTCTGCTTTGTTGGGGGCCTCGGGAAGATTGATTCGCGTTGTCATTGACAGCGTTCCCACGCCGGACATCAAACCATAAATGTTGACGTTCCGGTATCGTTTTTCTCTGCTCCTGTGACTTGACTATTTTCAATGTGAAAGTCAACGCCTCTTCTTTCTGACATAACATATTGAGACTACTTGCAATGCCGTGTCCTCCGATCTCTTATGAATTTGTTGATACAACCGCAGCTCTCGCGCGAGCTATTGATGCGCTCAGCAGCGCCCCTGCCAGCCCACCATCACTCTATGTGGACCTAGAAGGAGAGTACCTTGGCCGGTTGGGCACGATATCAATCATTCAGATCTACCTATCGACCCGACAGCATACATACCTGATCGATGTGCAAACACTCGGTGCCGCTTCTTTCTCGGAACAGGGCACAAACGGCACGACACTGAAGACTATCCTCGAGTCACCAAGCATCACAAAGGTCTTTTTTGACGTCAGAAACGATTCCGATGCCCTCTTCTTCCACTTCAACATTAACCTCAGGGGAGTTGAAGATTTGCAGCTCATGGAGCTCGCAAGTCGGAAATCCAACAAGAGGCTTCTTTTTGGGCTGAAGAAGTGCATCGAATCAGATGCTCAGATGACTACTGGCGAGCTACTGGAATGGAGCCGAGTCAAAGCGCAAGGGCTCAAGCTCTTCTCCCCGGATTCGGGAGGGAGCTATGCAGTGTTCAGCCAGCGACCCTTGTCTCGAGACATATTGTCATACTGCGTTCAGGATGTGCAATACCTCCCCCGCCTTTGGAAGACCTACGACGAGAAGCTCACGCCGGCGTGGAAATTGAAGGTTCTTCAAGCATCACAACACAGAATCATGCAATCCCAGGCTGCGGACTACAACGGCAAAGGAAGACACATGGCTTTGGCCCCAAAGGAATGGATTTCATGAGTAGCTCGACTCCACATCTCACAAATAGCAACCGGATCCGTTCACACAGAGCTGTCGTTCTTGAATAAATCCCACAAGTCACCCATCACCATACTTGAGATCCTGCCAGCACCCATCCATGACAAGCAATAATTGACCCTTGCGATGATGATCATCACCATCACACCACATGATTTGCTGAGTTCACTGCTGTCTAATAACTCATGCTGAACACCCATGATCTTAGTCGCAAGTCTTGTTTCCCGCTTCAGACTGGTCAAAACTCGCAGTCCCCCTGTAAAATTGAACCGGAGACGCTCTAGTAGAAGGCGCAAGTAACTGCAGCCACCCATATCATGAGCTGCGACCATCGCTGCGCAGGTCTGCACATCCCAAAAACAATCGCCATTTCTTTTACAGCTTAGCCTGGACCCGACCTTGCGATAATCTTTGTGCGACATCATGAGCACCACCACCCTTGCCAAACATGTGCCTCAAATCCTTGGCTAAGATTTCTGGTCTCTCATGCGCAGCGAAATGCCCACCATCGCCATGCGTGACCGCAAATACCACGGGTCCTAAGGTCTTCGCGTGACTAATCGGCGGAACGAACAAATCCATTGGGAAGATTGACACCCCGAGCTTTACCCTTGGGATCCAGCCAAACTGTTCCGTGTGTGCGGTAGGATGTCGCACCTCATAGTAGATCCTCACACTCGCCTCGGGACCCATAGTCGAGAACTGATAGATGGAGATCCAAGTGAGAATCTCGTCATCAGTCCATGGATAACCATCGGTCCAATCATGGAGTTTCTCGTATATCCATGCGAGAACGGCGACAGGTGAATCCGCCAGCCCAATACCGAGGGTAGCAGGGCGTGTTTGTTGCTCAAGGTTGTAGCCGTAACCCTCCTTGGCAAACCATGTGGTCCGCTCAAGACCCTTCTTCTCCTGCTCAGTATGTGGCCAGAGGCTCTTGATGTATTGCAATGGGTTCTTGAACGGTGAAGGCGGCTTCGCTTGGACCATGTTCAGATGCGAGGCAAGGACATGATCCGGATATTTGAGACCCATGAAGCGGGTAATTAAGAAGCCCCAATCTCCTCCCTGTGTCACTATCAGTGCGTTAGCAGGAACGGTTTAAGTGATCCGGAAGCGGATGGCGACTTACCATATTGCTCGTATCCGAGCTTGAGCATAACTTTGTGCATCACCTCGGCGTATTGAGGCATGCGGAACCCGGGCTTATCGGACCCCTGAGAGAAGCCGAAGTTGGGAAGTGAAGGCGCGACGACGTCAAATGAAAGGCCATTCGTCTCAGTTGTGAGGAGGGGGATGAGCTTAAGCGCCTCATAGAAGCTTCCCGGCCCTGTGAATAAGTCAGGCCAATTACCCATCTAAGGTTCAATAGGCAGTACTCACAGCCATGACAAAACAGCAAGGGAACAGCGCCGGGTTGAGTGCTCTTCTGCCACACAAAGTGTATGTCTAGATCTCCGAATCCAACGACAGAGATCGTGGTTGTGTACTGCGGGATCTCATTCAGCTTAGCTTCAGCTGCCCGCCAGTCAAAGCCGTTCCGCCAGTGGTTTACAAGTCGTTTGATGTGAGAGACTGGCACGCCATAGTCCCAGCTATCAGTGAGCGGAATTTCTGATGGGAATTTGGCATCGTCGAGCTTGGCGTGCAGATTCTCGATCGCGGAGTCCGGGACATTGATTTTGTAAGGCTTGATTGATGGATCCATTCTGACTGCAGAATGCCGTTGTTCTTGAAACGGTCTTTCGGTCGTTGCGGGTGTCAGATAGCCACGGATAGCGAATTTCTTGCGCTTGAATGTGATGATTTGAGTGTGATTTACGTCTCTGGATTGCGGGGAAGATTCAATTGCCTGTAATGCACTTGGTATACTTTCACCCAGGTAAACGCGCCCTTGTGAAGACGCGCAGATGGCGTCACAGTACAGACGAAACCATCTTACTAATACACGCGCCAGAGCACTGAGCAGATCCCTTCCAAGCGAATAGCGTTCTTGGCGGGCGGGAATAACGAGTGATTCGTGAGGGTTTGCTTCCCCGCAGGCGGTGCTCCAACTAATCAAGCCAACCAGAGTCTGACATCATGGATTAGCTCGAGAACGCGGTAGCATCAACTCATTCATAAGGGCGCGTCTTGACATGAGTTTACGACTCATGATGAGAAATCGAGATAGTCTGACAAATCTAGTCTTACAGCTTTTGAGTCTCCATGAGATTACTGTGCATCGTCCTTGGACTGATTGTATGAGATGACACAAAATCACAAACATTCACGAAGTCGCTCAGAAATCTGGGCTGAGGGAAAACCTTTTGTGAGGGTAAGATGAGACGCTACTAAGAAACTCAACATTCATCTCGTAATTTCATCATGCCGGCGACTACTTGCTAGCCCTCAGCTTATCATAGCTCACTACCGCTTCAAGAAGCGCCTGAGTACCATTCGCGCTGTATTTCATTAGTCTTCTATTCTTGTATTCTCTGATGCATTGTGACCAGTTCACTTACCAGTCTTCGGGGCTGCAAAATTCCTCGGGATGATGGCTCACTCCGTCCTTGCAAGGAACGAAAATCATTGTCGTCGGGCATACCTTGCTTGTATAGACGCTGTCATGGCCGGCGCCGCTCGTAATCGGGAGCCACCCGTCAGCACCAAATAGTCCCGTCGCAGCATTCTCGACGGCACTGATGCACTCGGGATGGAACTTTGCTGCAGGCGAGTCCGTGTCGAGAGTCCATTCTACCTGAACCCCCCTACCATCCGCCTTGGCGATGGTACTGAATGACTTGAGCACGCGGTTTTGCACATTGTCGACGACGCTATCTTCCGGGTGCCGAATGTCGAGGGTGAAGGTGACCTGAGACGGGATCGTGTTGGTGGATGAGCTGGGCGGGATCTTAATGACGCCAGTAGAGGCCAAGGCACCGAGCTCTTTTGCAATTTCGTTCGAGCTTGCAATCATCTTGGACGCGGCGAGAAGAGGGTCCGAACGAGACTTGAGGGGCGTTGTACCGGTATGCGCGTCGCGGCCCTTGATCGTGAAGGTGAACCAGCGATATGCCTGTGCGCCCTGCACAACACCAATTTTCCTGCTGTTCTCTTCGAGAATGGGACCCTGCTCAATGTGAAGCTCAAAATGCGCACCGAGGGGGTAGCCTTGGCTGGAGCAGGCAATGGGACCGATGTAGCCGTGGCGGGCAAGCTCGGATTTGACTGTGACGGACGGATCGAAGATATCGCCCATGGCCCAGGCCTTTTCAAGAGGAACCTTACCGGCCCAAACACCTGACGCCATCATCGACATGGGAAACCGGGCTCCTTCCTCGCTGGTTTCAGTCAGCTGATAACCCTGATAAACAGTCATCTAGCAGACTCACTTTGTCCAGTTGACAATGCCAACATCATATTGTGTCTTGTATCCGTTCTCCTTCAGGGTTCGTATCACTTCAATTGCTGACATGATACCCAAGATCCCGTCGTATCGCCCACCTCTTGGCTGGGTATCAAGGTGACTTCCCATGGCGGTCATCGGGCTCGTCGAATTGAGAGAACCCTTCTTCTTTGCGAACATATTTCCCATCTCATCGACGGCGAGGTCGCAGCCTAGGTTTCCAGTCACCTCGTCGGCAAACCAGCGTCTAACCTTGGCGTCATCGTCAGACAGGGCAAGGCGAGCCATGCCAGTTTCTGTCGCACCTCTAACATTTAACAAGTTTGTGAGCAGCTTCCAGAAAGAGGAAGGATAAGTAGGTTTATAGAAACATAATCATACTTACTTGCCATATCTATGCGCAGCTCCCCATTGACACGTGTGGTGAAGGGTCTCTTGTAGTCGGTCGGCATTGATCTTCAATCCTGATAACGAAGCCCTGGCCGAGGAGTATGACCTCACTTGGTCGGAGATGGATGAGAACAGTTTTGTCCGTTGCATCATTTCTCTATGGCTGCATGTGTGTATCAGCCGCCGAAAATCAATTCAAGAAGATGTTGGTGAAGATGATGGTTACAATTGAGCTGTCCCCGATTGGCAGACGCAGCCAAGTTGATGTAGGCGCGGGGAAAGGGGCGGGGTGAGATCGGCCGAACGCCCCGGTGGATCGGCAAAGGGCGCCGCCCCGTAAAAGGTGTTCATAAACTGTCAATCGCGCCCAGCAGTTTCTGTCAAACCACCCATCATCAACGCCTTACAGAAGGTTCTACTTGCGCCATATGTCACTCCGAAATTTCGTTCACTGAGAAATCAATGCCATTACGCAATTTCTTGCGCTTTTTGTTCACTATCCAGATGAGGAAAGTAATCGCTGGATGACATCTGATGTAGGTATTCAAGCGTGCAATCATTGACCCAGGTTTAGGGCAATGCCGTTGGGCTGAGTGTCCGCCTTTCCTCCACCGATTAAATACTCTCTTGGATACTTCCAGTCATACTTCTCGTGTCGTTCCCCGGAATTCCTGGTATCGCAGTGGCCGAAGATAATACTTGCGCTCCCGTCTGAGCAGCAAAGGTCTTTGCTCCGGTGTATACCGTCGGCCCGGGGATCTTGTACGGAGGAAGCGGGCTCTGTGAGATGTCGTACACCAATCCTTCCTCCGCTGGCTGGTAGAGTCTTGTGCCTAGCGTTCCGGTCGGCCGATCTCCTCCTCCGCCGGTCACTTGGATATTAATACACTGCGGATAATGCTGAGCTCCCTGACCAGGATACCTCGCGAAATGCAGTGCCACAATCTCGTGGCGGAGAACGTAATATCCTGGCGCTATCTTGGGTGGGATCTGAACCACCCAGCTAGCGTTGTTCTGTATGAGGACGTCGCTTGCCCAGATCCCTCTGGCGGTTGCGAATTCGGTAGCGTTCTTATTAGGGTCGATCAGCCCAACCTTGTCGATGGCGAAGAAGCTCAATGTCGTCTTTTCCACTGCTTCACAAGATCCTCTCTCAGAACCGCAGTATGCGAGATGTGTCACCACAGGACCGTGGTGAGATTCTGGCCAGCCTTGCCACTGGAAGGCAATCGTGTCGCCCGCTGCTACCGGTGCATGGCCTGCAGGGTTGGTTGCGTTCCGGTGGCACAGGATGTTGGGTCCGCCATAGCTCTCGGTGCTGACCCAACCATCATCATTCACTGTTGTGCTCCATGCCGCCAGAAGTTTGGGATTGTTGGGAACTTTGGCGTTGTAACCATTGTACGAGGCGCCATCGATAACGAAATTCGTGATGCGACTATGGGCCGCCACGAATGTGAAGAGCGCCGCTGGCGTAAAGGCGACTCTAGGTAACATGATTCCTCGAAGGTGCAACCAATCTTCTGAAATTCGTCTTAGATGTAGATGCATAGTAAGAAGATGTTGTCGAGCCGTGCCCTCGATCAAATACACCAAGCCTCGGAGGGAAACACGACACCACTTTGGTGAAGATCGTCATAGCAACTTACTTGATGCCAACGTGACCTACTTGAACCAATTCAGGTGCTTTCGTGGGGCCGTTTGTGACCAGATCGGTGAGAAGAATCAGCAGGATAGAGTGCATCATCGGGATTCAACCCGGATGTTGCATCGTTTTAATGAAGCAGTCAGCCCGTCAATTTGTTTTCTTTTTCCTGTTTGAACTAGTAGGCGGGGACCCAGCTGTGCAACGAGACTGAACAAGCAAGACATCAAGCCTGGTACAGATGCACGGCCACGTCCTTGAATCTCGGAGGATCTTAAACTACTACCTCTTCGGGTGATTTTGGTCAGTCGATCTCGTAAGATCGGCGCTCGGCCGTGCTGATTCCCCCGCAGTTTCGCATTCTGCCGACCGGTTGTGACCTTAATTTACTTGAGAGGTGCCGAGAGCAATCCCGTCATCAGGGATTCTTCCAGCGAGGCAATTTGGAGACGGGCAGCCATTCCGCTTTTATGTTTCCGCCGCGACGTAGACTGCGGAAGCTATGGGAGCCCAGACAGCATCAGGCAAGGCCAGACAGGAAAGATGGAAAAGTCACAACATCAATGTTTAAAGCAATAAAATATTTGAGAAGGATTTAGAGATCCAGCGGCCGTCGCTGAGAGCGGTGACTTCAGGAATAGCTACATAAGTAGCTAGAGAACCTCTCGCATCAACCAATGAGATGGGCGAATGGTTTAGTGGTATAATACTCGCTTAGCATGTGAGTGGTCCAGGGTTCGATTCCCTGTTCGTCCAGTTCTTTTGCCTTCCTCAGGTTATTGGCGTCTTTGTTTTTGGTTCTGGACCATGTTTTGTTAATTCTTAGCACACTCTGATATTTCCGTTATGTGCTAATATTGCGTTCCGCAGTTCGGATGGCGAAAACTTGTCGCGTGCCTATTTCCCCCTTTGAGAATCAAAATGCCATCTCAGCGTTGCGGCGCTGTCTAACCCCACTGGCGCAGCCGCAACTAGTGTTCAGCTGAACGGCACGGTATTTCCGCAAAGCATTCTGTGAAAGACCCGGCCCTCCACAATGTCTCAAATCGGAAATCCCATAACGCGGCGCGGAGACTAATCGCCCAGCTGAGCGCCACAAACCGGGGTCGTGGGACCTGGCGCCTTGAAAACATCCATGCCCCCGTGACAACAAGGCCTCGAGCACCTTAGTTGTTTGGACTACAGTTAGACTTGCCTTGTCTTAGAAAGCTCCAAGGACGGTCGTTTTTTATGCTGAACGAAATATCATCATTCTTGCTATGCCCAGCAGAAAACCAAAATGAAGTGCAAGGCGCTCGGGCCAGTTCTGGGTTAAGCATCGTGATGATCCACAGGCCCCATTCAAGATTCTCAGAGCCCACCAGACGAGGGCTTCAACCCGCTCCTCCTGTCCCACATCTACACTGTTACGGGTGGGATGACCAGCAAGGAAGTAATTAAACTTCACTGGTCTATTAGTCTAGTTGGTTAGGACGTCGGATTCTGATCTAACAATCAGTCCCTTCCGTAAGCCCAGGTTCGAATCCTGGATGGACCTTTCTTTTGCCTCTCGAGACTAAGACAGGGCTGAACATAACTTATTTTTGCCTCTATTTGGTATTTGTGTCAATTGTGTCTGACATACGCTATCATTTTGTGGCTAGACTCTTTGTGTTCTCTCTCGGGAACGTTTCGTTAATGAGCTACTGCTTGCTGCATCTTCATGTTGCATTCTCCGTCTCTCACATATAGTTAGCGATTATGAAAGGTCGTTCAGGAAAGCAAACCAGCAGAATGAGAACCTAATTTCAGCTGCGGTTCCCCGGCACGGGGCGTCGGTAGTCCATAGTGAACCCGTCCTAGTGTCATTTTCCCCATACGCCACACTGCACCAGAGACAATGAGATTGTGCGCCAGACCCGAGTTTCCGGTATTGAGAATGCTACTGGTGCATCGTCGTCTGCAACCCAGCAATCCTGGGTTGCTTGCAAGGCACGCTTTGTCTGGCAGCAGGGATTGCAAGTAGCTTGCGGCCTGGCGACGACGTGGTAACGCCCGCAAAGCCATTGGCCGAGTTCCTGCTTGCGCATGCCGTTGTCTTGCGCTCTCGTAATGAAAACTCTTCCTTCGCAGCCACTAAGACCGAGCGAAGGGGATAAGTACTCCTCGGGAGGTTGGCCGTAGTCGAAGTCTCTTCATCTTCAGCGACATTCGGTCTTGTCCTTTTTCTGCTCCATGTAAACTCGAAGATCATGATCTCTCAAGTCATGAAGCAAACGGACATTGAGAAAGGGTCAAGGCCGTCTCCTTCCCGGAACAGTTCCCTCTCGACGCTTTGCGGTGACGATGTCAGCAGCAAGGCCCCAACTATTTGCGGCCGGGAATCGCCGACATCACAAGATCCGAGTCAGGACAAGTATCGTTCAGAGCCCGAGTCCCTTTTGGTGGGTTGGCCTAATCATTTTGACAGATTTCTTGGCTAACGTTTTGATCAGGTCTCTTGGGATGGACCACATGACCCAGAGAACCCCAAGAACTGGGACAGAAGGCAGAAATGGACAGTGGGTTACCCTGAAGCTTCTGATGCGTCCATTCAATAACTGACTTTCGAACAGATGTCCCTGATCATCTCGGCATTCGCATTCCTTTCGCCCCTATCCTCCTCCATTGCCGCCCCAGCTTTGGGTCCGATTGGACAAGATCTTCATATAGACAACCAAGTCCAGCTCCAACTCGTTCTGTCGATCTTTCTTCTCACCTACGCACTCGGCCCATTCATACTGTCACCTTGCTCAGAAATATGGGGTCGTACACCGATAGTCAGAGTAGGGAACACGATCTTCATACTGTTCACCACTCTCTGCGGCTTTGCAACATCGAAAGGGCAAATTATCGCCTTTCGGTTTCTAGCCGGGATTGGAGGAAGTGCAACAACAGGGGTTAGTCTCGTACAACCCTTCAACAGGTGATTTCAGCTAATGGTCGGGGCCAGATGGGAAGCGGCGTCTTGACAGACTGCTGGCGTCCAGAAGAGCGCGGAAAGGGAATAGCCGTGATGCAATTTGCACCAGTCATTGGCCCTGCACTAGGTCCCATTGGTGCGTCATCCCCATTTCATTGTCTATTTTCAATCACTGATGCTAACCTTGTTCCAGTTGGTGGCTACATCTCGCAATACGCCACCTGGCGCTGGGCATTCTGGACAGTCGTCATCTTCAACGTCGCAGTCCAGGCTGTGGCATTCTTCCTGCTGAAAGAGACATATGCGCCTCGCCTTCTTGTGCTGAAAGCCAGGAAGCTTCGCAAGGAGTCATGTAATCCAGAATTCCAGACTGCCTGGGAACGAGAGCAACGCACTCTGACGAAGATTCTTCGAGTCAGCTTGTCGAGGCCCTGGGTGATGCTTGCAACTCAGCCCATCATTCAAAGTCTAGCAGTCCTTCAGGCTTTCAACTTTGGCTTGCTCTATCTCGTAATCTCCGGATTTCCTACTCTTTGGGAAGGACACTACGAGATGTCAAAGGGCAGAGCAAGTTTGAACTACATCTGGATTGCCGTCGGATCCCTGATTGGAGTTTTAATCTGCGCCCCTACTATGGATGCAGTCTACCGACGGCTCAAGACAAAATCCGGGATCGGGATGGAAGAGCAAGGGAGCCCCGAATTTCGCATTCCCTTGATGATTCCTAGTTCAGTAATCACGCCTGCTGGGATGCTGTTGTTCGCATGGTCCGCGCAGAACAGAATGCATTTTCTCATTCCAAACGTAAGTCTCTTCAGAGTCAGAAATTCTTTCCGGGGACAACATCCTGACTCAGGACCAATAGATTGGCATTGCGATAACGATGGGAAGCACTATGATATCGTACCAATGCATCTCGGCCTATATAGCCGACTCTTATCCGCAGTACACCGCCTCTGCTTCGGCTGCATGTTGTTTCATGCGGTCCATGTTCGCTTTCGTGTTTCCGCTGTTTGTTCCGGCGCTTTTCGGAAAACTGGGATATGGACTTGGCGGAAGTCTATTGGCTGGTATCGCGGTCGTCATTGGGATCCCGGCACCGATCTTACTCTGGGTATTTGGCGCAAGGCTACGGGGTATGAGTCGGTTCAGCATACGGGAATAAAACGGAAAAAAAATCAGAACGATGAAGGCGGTATGTCTAGTACGTTGCGTTTTGTTATACAAGGTGAAAAGTTTCCAACACATCGGGGCGTTAGGGCTTACGCCGTCAATCTAGGTTTGCATCTGCGGCTGTATCTTGTCTTATGACCTTTCTCATTGGCTTTCACAATTTCATCTCAAATGACATTTCTTCGTTTTCCGGATATCTACCTAATCACACGTGGAAAACACATTTTTGGCAGATTTGCCGCAGATTAAAAGCAGCCGCATCGATCCACCCCACTTCCCAATCAGGCCATCCAAGCGCCAACTGATTGACCTTGACTTGTATGGAGTCTTGCGTCAGGGTCCTGGTTCTCTTCTCCAACGGGATCTGAATTCCTACACAAGCATTCCCCAGGCTGTCTTTGGTGTCGTCCGACGGGTCCGGGTTTGAAATGTTTTGGAAGCTAGGGAACGAGTAAGGTTCCCCGGGAAATTGCACACATCGGAACACACTCCGACCAATCAATGCCTTATCAAAGCATTGCCCGTATATACAAGCCAGTCTTCGTTAAGGTTTGATTAACAGCGGCTTGTGCTTCAGCAGTCTCTCACAGTTGCGTAAAGCCAGTAGGAGTTAGTGATCAACTCCGAATAGAAATGCACGTGGAGCAACCCGCCTGTGCCAGAATAGAAGTGTCGGATTATTCCATAGTAGAAGACTCAGAACTGTATATAAGACCGCACGTTTTCCGAGATTTTGTGACGCAGATCCAGGAGCTTCAACTGCTGTTCAGACTCTACAAGGTCTTCAGAAATTATTCTGCCCGGTTCATCACTACCCGCGAGTCGTCAGGCACGGCGCATCGTTTAAACTTTAAGCATATTCACCCCCACCACAACCTACACCAACCACCGTACAGAATGCAACTTGCCAAGACCCTGCTCGCTCTCGTGTCCGTCTTGGCACTAGCTGGTTCGTCATATCTACGTAACAATTACGCGGTTGTGTGACGATAATTCCTAACTTTTGTTCCGTTTCTCACAGAGGCGAAGGCGTGCCAGTTCGGCACCTGCCAAGGCCAGTTCGGTGCATGCTGCGACCAATTCGGGGGATGTACAGTTCTTTCGAACGAATGTCCTTGAAAGGATGATATTGGCGATCAATCGATAAATCACGCAATTACGAAGAATTTCTGGCGAGGAAATGGAGAAGCACGAGAGATCGCTCAGCTCGTTCGGGCACATCAGGTCTCAGTAGAAGAAACCATCACACTCGCTGCCAAGACCACCTACCTTTGGGCATTGATGGGAAAACGCACACAATCCCTGCGGGGGCTGCTGCCAAGAGCACATCGATAATTTGCCCAGATAACTATCAACGTTTCTCCTCTCGCGCGTTCCATTCCACTGCTTGTATTGGAACAATGCATAGCGCTAAGTTTCAATTCTCCGATGATTTTTGATACGTTTTGAGTGAAGTCCTGCTAATCAACATGTTCACATGGTTAAGGTTCTTGTTTGCCATGTTTTTCTGAACGGGACGAACGGGAATCTGGTTTCGCGTGTGTCGATCGTCGCCGGATTAGACGGTTTAGAGATGCCGTTTTAGATACGCTTTCTGTCAGCTATCGTAATTCCGGGGATGGTGGTTGAATAATTGCAAAGACCGCGGGGTTTGCGGGTGGTGTCCGTTAGAATTTCGTCATCACACCATCACATCCCCCCTGCTATCCTCAGTGGTCATCCAGGGCGCAGGAATTCTCGTTACAATTATTTTACTTATTCATATGTTTCATGTCCTACGTAGTAGCGCCCTAGACTCCTTATATGCCCCTGTCCCAAACCCCGGTTTTGATATTGCCATGTGCGTTTGGTATCATTCCGTAAAACCACGTAACCCCGAACAGTCTATAATGGTGATAATTACGATTGCTTAGATCCCCTTTTCTCCTCCCTGACTCTGGAGTGCCTGGACGCCTGTTCCTCCGGCTCCTCAAGGTCGTCGTCGTGTTGATCCTCCAATGATACGCGTTCTCCGTGATCCATCGAGTGTCGGTCGTTCAGTTCCAAGTCTTCGCCTTCTTGGAGGTTATCGCCTTCCGCTGAATGTAAACCTATCGTCGTCGGTGTGTGTGTCCTCCTCTGCTCCCAAGTCTTGTTCGTGCTGTTCCCATCAGGATCAAGCGGCATACTCGGGTCTTCTTCTGGTCGTAGTGTCGCGTGTGATACGCGTGACGGTCGTGTGAGAGTGCGAAGAGTAGACTCTTGGCCAGGTGACGTGATCCAGTTCATGACAAGAGCCGAGAAAAAGACTATTCAATGACATATTAGCACTTCTTGACGAAAATCGTTCTAGAGTCGATCTTACTGTCTGTGTTGCAACATAACAAACACAACCACGCAACCTCTCCATTGAGTGCGCCCAAGACCGCTAGATTCCTGTTCCTTCAGGTCAGTGAATAGCCCACGTCAACTCGAGCCAATGACGTACGTGACACTGCTCAGGAGTGTACAGCATGAACCGATGAAAGTCCGGATCACAAGACGTCGAAGCCTGATATTCGGTGGCGCTCTGGGGACCCGGCGGTTTCTCCAATCCAAAGTCCACGGTTTCCAGAAGTTATACTTGACGGAATGAAGGCCTGTCGTCGATTTAGTCATGTTACTGATGTACTTGAGCTTCTCAGTACTTACTTAGTAGTGGGAGTAGAAACATGATAGTGAGGTAAACCTGGTAGATGTCAGAGCCCGTTCACATGAAGTCAAGTCAGAACGAAGCTCACGTTGACAGCAGCATCAAAGGATATCAAGGCCAAAATTACATTTTGGCCCAGTCCAATAATGCATATTCCGTCAATGTAATTTGTTATTCGGAAGATGAAGTTCAATATGACGATGAGGACGAAGACCCCTGTGTCGCGTGTTAGCCCATGACACTTGACGATTCCCACATAAACCATACCAAGCATGCCGAAAGAGTTGAATATGTAGAGCTTGGACTTCATTCGGGGTTTTGATGTCTGTCTGATGATGTGCTGTTGTCATTGTTAGTTGAATGCCTTGGAGGGTCATCTGTAGGTCAACCACTTACTGCCCGATCTACCATGAACAGGTATATGAACTGCGGTCACATGTCAGTATTCAATCTGTTGATTACACAGACACGTGTAGCAACGCTTACCAGCTGTAAAGACGGTCAGTGAAAAACATCTTGACATATCTAGGGCTTGGACTGACCTTTGTCGAGACATAGGCGCCGAGGCAAAAGAGCGTCGCTGCTGAACATGCTGCGAAGTTCATGTCGGTTCCGAATCCGAACTGTAGAATTGACGTCCCGAAGACGAAAAGAAAAGAGAAAACATATATGCAGATTACGACTGGAAAACTGTCAGGGTCGTCTCGATATCGAGTAGTGGAATGCCCTTACGCCACATTGTGTACGGCAACACCCTCCAATCCTTCACGGTCGATACTCGCATAGCTGTAATTGTCGTCAGAACTATTGCTCGAGGTTGCGCGGAGTTCCTGCCATTCCAATGTCGTTCCGCATCAGATTTACTGACCAAATAAACTTGCAAGCGTGCATGCCGAGATCAAGGCGACAATGATGCTCATGACCTTTCCCGCGAGTGGCTGAGGCCCATGATTGATACCACGAATCGCCACATCTTCCCTAACCTCCAACGATATCATGGCTCCAGCTTTCCCTGCTGCGTTCTGCCAGCGGCTTGTTATGTTGACCCCATCAAGATAATCCCTCTCAATATGTCGACCCGGGAGAGCCGACCCAACGCGCCGATGTGGGTATTGTCGATCGGTAAATACGGGGGCGGAGACGACGGGGGCCCGCGATGGTGTTTCGACGACCTTAACGACGATTCTCAGGGTCGACTGACGACGAACGTATTGCCCAGCGTGCGGCGAAAAGGAAAGCGTGCGACAAAAGAGGGGGGAGCTGGGGGGTGATGGGGATAGATGGGAAACTTTGAAACGGAGAAAGACGAGGAAGGGCTCCCTTGGGAAACTCTGCTGGGGAAGCTTGGGGATGGAGTCGATCGGAACTCCCTCATGTACCTCCTGTAGGGACTTTTTTTTCTTTCGTCCGCACGGCACTCGTAGGCCGTGCCGCACGTGGGATCGGTGTTTGTGCGGGAATGTCCAAGCGGTGCGATGAGGAAATACGGTCAAGTCTCCCAGCGAATAGACTTTTTGGTCAAACGCACCATGCAACGGTATGATGGTGGCCTTCGAGCGACCCTGACTCGCGTGTCTGCGAACTTTCCGCCTCTTGAACGTCGCGCACGGCAGTTACGCTGCCGGACTGCTTCATCATGGCACGCCTCGCCCAGACTATTTGACTTTCGAGCAAATGAAAAGATTGGATCTCTCGGTTCTAGCGGATGGCGGATGGAGATGGGAGGCGAACGGCGTGAGCCACGTGACGACGCCACAGGGTCTGATCATCTTTGGAATCTTTCGGATCCAGATTGCTCGTTATTCTAGATCAACCTTACTACGGATAGTTGGGCAAACACTTCGTGGTCCCTTGAGGTAAGGCACCGCGTCCAGGGCCGATCTTCTTCCGATAATTTTAAGGTTGGTGGTCCTTGACCTGGCCAGCCAGCGGTCCCGACATCCGTCGGCTTTGCCCGAAGGCTTGGCTTCCTGGGGCTGGTCTCTGGGGCATTTCAGGAGGCGGTGTTGCGACGCCAGATGTGTGATTTGAGCGGAATCTCACCCTGACGATGCTTGCATCTGGGGTTTTTGGCAGCTTGAGATAATAATATCGCGAAAGTATCATCATGGGCCCGGACAGCTCCGCGATTGACTTGTATTTAAAGTCGTGATGATCGCCGCTAATAAGGAGCCCTCTTTTGAGTGACACTCGCTAGCTCATTTCTGCTGTTCTGTTCTTGTATAATCGAAAGCCTTACCGACGCGTCGATCGCTCGTTTAATTCTCTCTTTTTAAAACTCACTCCTTCACCTTCGCTGCAATCAAAATGCGTGCTTCGGTCACCGTTGTTGCCTCGCTTCTCTCCTTCGTTGTTAGCGTCTCCGGGTAAGCACTCTTCCACTCCCAATTTCCAAAGGGACTTGTCAAGTCATCAATGAAGATCATGTTTGTGCGCGCACGTGGCTGATTTCTTTGACACCGCACAGACAAGGCGAATTCCAGACAGTCTTTTGTCAAACCATTGACGGCAAACACGCAGCCAGTAACAATTTCTGCCAGGCTGTTGGAGGCGCTGTTCTGCCATCTCCTGGGGTAAGTCATTGCTCTTTGTTGTTGATGTGGCTGAATCAACGTAATTGCGGTCGAGTCTAACAGCCCCTAGTTCTGTTGCCTTCGCTCAAGCGACTTTGACAAGTTCGTAGCTCTCTCAAAGGGCTGTGCAGACAATGGCTTGGTGCTAGGAAAGAACGACGTCCCTTGCTCTCCATAGACATACCGGCTTGTTTCAGGAAAGCCCAAACCACTACCATGACCTGCAGACGCTTGTAATCAGGAGCATTCCATGACTCCTTAGTTACTATCATGATAATAATGAGTGATTAAACTGCCAGTACAACATGCGACATGAGTCGTGCAAGTCTTTAAACCCGTAGAGCTCGATCAATACAGACAGGGTCCACTGAATAGAATTTGAAGCGGATCGCAACGCGGTTTGAGACCTCCGTTGCTGTGGATCTTCATGGTCAATTGTCTCAGGTTGTCCCGGCCGCTCGTCACCTGCTTCTAGCCGAGGCTGCCAACAGCTGACGATACCGCGGAACATGGACTGGGGTTCGTCCCGTCATGCCCGGCAAGGGTAGGCCATTCGGAATCGTCCTGATGTCGAACCAGAGACGCGGGAATATTTTCGCTGAGAAAATAAGTATACGCAGGCAACTTTATGCAGCTTCCGCCTTGCTTGGCCCCTTGCCGTCGCCATGTGGAAGCCATGTGCAAGTAATGTTAGATCCTAGTCATGAGCACATTGTGGGGGACAAATCAAAATATCGCAAAAACATAGAACATAAAGTTACCTCCCTATTGAACTCAAAGCTGATGTAATAACTCCGAGGATTAGACACTATTCCTTTTTATCCTTGTACTCAATCTTGCTCACTTCCGCGCAACAGTCTGGGGTACCGCGCTTCATCGCCTCTCTCAACCACGGCTTCCAAGAAAGCAGCCAACACAGCGCTCATACCCTTCTCCTCGGCCTCGGTAGCCCAATCAACCATACTCAGACTTTTGAAAGGATGACCAAAACGAGCTTCCATGTAACTCTGGAACTCATGAACCGGCACCACGTTGCCTTCAGTGTGGTGGATAATTCTGGTTGCGCCGTAGGAGACTCCAAAATCGTCATTCGTCAGTGATTGAAGAATCGCTCCCGCCGTTGTCGGCAACTTGCACATGTCCAGGAAGCCAGAAAACGTAGCCAAAGATGGGACTGCTTTGAGGATGGCTGAGTACTTGTGGATCATGTTGACCGCGTCCATCTCATCAGCGTCCTCGGACATGAGGTAACCAGCGCGATGAATCGACACAGATAACCCGGTTGCGGCCGCACACTTCTCGAGATACGTCTCGCTCGCCCATTTTGTTGAGGTGAATCCCTCTCTGCCAAGAGCAGCTGGGGGATAATGCACTGAAATGGGCCGCTCGGGGTACGTGTTGCCTCCGCTGAACAGGACGACGCGGGGACTGGAAATGTAGTGGAATGGCACCTTCTTGACCAATGCCAGATTTGCCAGGAACTTCGTTGACTCTACATTCTGAACGCGAATGGAGTCATAGTTGTTCAGGCACGAGCCCTCAGCTCCGGCGTGGATTATGATGTCCACGTCTCTTTGCAAGGTTTGTTGCGCTTCACCCGAAAGACCAAGGGTTGGATCCGCAAGACTTCCGATGTGAATCACGAGTTTGTCACTTGCCGGAAGCTGGGGTACTTGTTCCTGACTAATTGCAATGCAGTGAACTTTGCCAACGGACGGGTTTTCAAGAAGGAGTTTCAGGAGCCATAATCCCAGTCCCCTAGCTGCGCCCGTCAGAATGACGGTTTTGTTTTCATTCGGGACCACGTGAGATGGAGCAGCGCTTACTGCCTCGATGGCTGCTTGACTGACAAAACGAGTCTGATTATCCCAGAATTCCCAGTCAATGCCGTCATTCTTTGATTCTTTGGCGCCTCGAATCATAGCTGCCATTGATCGCAAAGTGCTTGCTTCAAACAACTGTAGAAGAGGCACAGAAATCTGCCACTGCTTCTGTACCTTCTTTCTCAAGTTGACCAACAGCAGGGAGTTTCCTCCGAGACGGAAGAAGTCGGAGTTGGGAAGAATGCCAGTTGATTGGGAGATGGTGTCTGGAAGAATCTGTTCCCAAACCTGACGCAGGTCACGCTCGAGTGGAGTGAGTGTTTCTTGGCTGCTTTCCTCAGCCTGAGCTGGGATCGGTATCTCGTTCAAAGCGACCCGGTCCAACTTGCCATTGTGGGTCATGGGAAGCTGTTGAAGCGGAATGATGATTGAAGGCCGCATATACTCCGGAAGAGGGAGGCTTGCCGGGAGTGATCGGAGATACTCATGGGTGTCTTTGATTTGAGCGCCAGTTGCGATAACGGCAAAGGCAACCAAGGTCTTGTCTTCTCCGCGCACGGTGACAACAGCTTCCGCGAGCTTTCCGTTCGCAGTCTTGAGAATATTGGACGCAATGTCCTCAAGCTCGATGCGGATTCCTCTGATCTTGACTTGGCTGTCGCCACTGATGCGGCCGAGAATGACGAGCGAACCGTCTGGCTTCAAATAGCCGGAATCGCCGGTGCGGTACATCATGTTCCAGTCATTTCCTTGATCCTCCGCAGTAGCGAAGGGATCCGAAACAAAAGCCTTGTTGGTGAGCTCCTTGCGGCGAAGGTATCCCTGACTGACGCCTGCACCTCCGATACAGACTTCTCCGGCGCATCCCTCTGGTACAAGGTTCATTCTGTCATCGACAATGTATATCGAGACATTATCCAGGGCAGGACCCGCAGGCACGAAGTCCAAGCCGTCCTCCAAGTACTTGACGCGCTCCACCGTGGCGAAGATGCACGTCTCTGTCGGTCCGTAAACGTTGAAAACGTTCGCGCCTGGTGGCATTGCCTGCTTGAACTGAACTGCCAGCTGAGGTGTGAAGATTTCACCTCCTACAGCCACGGTCCGGAACTTTTCGCAAGTCTTGAGTACGTCCGAAGCATGTTGGAAGATGTGCTTGAACTCTACAGGGGTACCCGCCATGAGCGTCACTTTTTCGCTCTTGATGAGGTCGACGATGGCTGATGGGTCTCTGCGTTGGTCTTTGGAAGCCATGACCAAGGTGGCCGCGTTGGAGAAAGCAGTGAAAATCTCGAACGGACAAAGATCAAAGCTGACGCCGGTTTGTTGGAGAATCACCTCCTCTTTTGATCGTACTTGAAGCCTGCGCGAAGAGGCCTCAATTAGATTAACATAGTTCCTGTGCTTCAGGATGGCCCCCTTGGGAATTCCGGTCGTTCCGCTTGTGTAGAAAAGTACGGCTGCCGCTTGAGGATCGGATGAATTACGGACTTCGTGGTCTCCAGCTCGAGGCAGAATCGAAGAGACATCCAAGGTCGAGATACCACGGCAAGAATCGGCTAACAGTTGGGCGAGATCGGAAGTCGCTTTATCGTGGAGGATCGCCTGTGGTTTACAGTCGCTCACAATTGAAGTCAATCTTTCTTGGTGATTAGTGATATCGAGGGAGACAACGATAGCTCCAACTTTCAAGACTGCGAGGTATGCAAACACATATTCGGCCGAAGGCTCGATCAACAGACAACAGAAAGGCTCGTCACTTCTGGGTACCCCAAGAGCTCTCAGAGATGCGGCCATGTCGTTGACTTTCTGCATCATCTCTCGATAAGTGTAAACCTTTTCTCCGTCCTTGATGGCAACGAGATCCGGATGACGCTCGGCGACTTCGTCGATTCGATGAGAAATAGTGCCTGACCATTCAATGTCGAATCGGCGGCCTCTTCCTGTCAACCCCTGGCTATCTGACTCGCCCACAGCTTTCAGCACGGAAGACCTATGCATGGGAAGCGCAACAACCTCAGACCGCGGAGCCGCACAAGCAGACTCCAGCAAGCAGCGATAACAGTCCAGAATTGATTGCGCAGCCTCCTTCGAGTACAGCGCATCTTGAACGGCGAAATGGAGGAGACAGGTTCCGTCTGGTGTGTCGGTGATATTGACTCCCAGATCATACGGGTTGCCTGAACTCTGAGATTGGACATACTTGAGCGTAGCATCGCCGATGGAATTCAATCCCAAGATTCCAAGTCGGTAGTTGATGATGACCTGGAAGATTGGGCTGTGTCGCGCTGTGCGCGGAACTTGGAGTTCATCCAGCAAGGCGTCGAGGGGAATTGTGGAGTTAGTGAGGGACGAGAGAATTTTCGAAGACGCCTTCTTACAAAGAGTTTCGAAGCTGTCAGTTTCTCCCATTTTGACTCTCACAGGGACGATATTGATGAAGCATCCGGCAGTCTGAGAGAACTCAGTGCCCGACCGTCCTGTATCAACAGTGCCAATGCAGAAGTCGTTTGTCTGTGAAAGGCGAGACACCATTGATGCGAGGACGGCAAAGTGGAAATGAAATGGCGTTACATGAAGTTTGCTGCTGACTTGCTTGATCCGAGATACCAGGTCTTTAGGCAACACCGTATCAACGATGATGGTGGCGTACTGGTTTGTTGCCTTCCGAGTCTTTGTGTGCGACATGGGAAAGAGGGGCAGGGCATCGGGAAGGCCTGCAAGCTCATCCTTCCAGAATTGGGTCTCCGTGGCACAGTTTCCGTGCTCTACCATGGACCGCTGTTTAACTGCGAAGTCGACGTACTGCGGAATGGTGGGCAGAGACTTCCCCTCGTATGCTCGCGCAAGATCTTTCAGGAGAAGGATCCATGTGACACCATCAATGGCTATATGGTGACTGGAGAGGATGAGAGTGTGTCGGTCGCTTGTGTGTCGGAGGACAGTCAATCCCAAGCATACGCCTTCTTCGAGATCCCACTGCCGTGATTTCATGTCCTGGTACTCTTGCACGGTTGTTGCATCCGTTGCGTCGTCCACAAATTTGAAGGGGCATGCTGACATGGCTGTCACAGCTTGCATCGGCAGCCCAGTAGCTGCGTCCGTGTAGAAGTATGTGCGCAAGATCTCGTGATGCCAGGTCACCTGTCGAAACGCATTCTTCAGTCGATCGACGTCCAGAGGCCCACTGAGCTCGTACATGGATGTTTCATTGTACGTTGTTGGATCTTCCAGGAACCCTTGGAGAAACCACAGGCGGGCTTGCGCGAAAGACATCTGTGCTCTTCGGTGAACGACTCGCTGAATCTTGCGCTCCTTGAAGTAGCCATCTGCCTGCTCGTCCCTGCTTTCACTGCCG